CTCAGGAAACTCAGGTCGTGGTCCACACTCTTCCCCTGACCTTTCAAGCTACCATGTTCATTTACCAAGAACACCCACCAAAGTGAGACGTCAAACTGGTTACGAAGACCTATCATCGCCATCTCCAAGAACACCTGGATCTGTACTGAATCACTGGAAATTTAATTGTATGATGAATCAACGGAGTTTGAAGCCGCCAAAATTGCCCGACAGTGACGAAGAAGGAGAAGAGGAGGTGGGAAAAGGAAAAGAAAAAGATAATGAGAGATTAAAGGAAGACTTTGATTTAGAAGAAAAAAAATCCTGTTCTGTTTCAGAAGGTTTAGTAACACCGAAACGCAAGCAGAGATCAAAAGGATGGCAGAACTTTGATCTTACATCATCACCAACCTTTAGAAACACCTTTTTCAGGGCTTCAGACTATGAAAATCTAAATCGTATGGGTCCTCAGGGCACTAAGCGTCGACGTACAATTGATCAGGATGATGAAAGTAGCCAAGTTCTTGGTCATCAACAGGGCAGCGACGAAATAGGCGAAGAAGCTGAAGTATCTGTAGGGGAAGAAGTCGTTGAGATTGAAGCTGTAGAGGAAGAGGCTGTAGAGGAAGAAGCTATAGGAGAAGAAGTCGTAAAAGAAGAGGAGGAGGAGAAAAGGGAGACGGATGAGTATCGAATTGATCAGTATCAAGGACCAAATACAACTACAACAACCAACAACAAATTACTATCGTTGGATTTGAAGCTAGTTGATCGATTTCTATCGGCCTCGGTCCATGAGCAGAACTTAACCCAGTCTCAATTCCATACTCCACCTCGAAAAAATATCTATACAGATCCTTCAACTATCAAGCCTCCACGGCATCCAAGCATCGGCTCTGGATTACCCATGTACTGCCCAAATGCTGTCTCCGAAAGTCCATGCAAACGTCAACAGAAGAACGCGTTTCTTTTGGCTCATCATCCTTGAAGCTTCTGTCTTTACCGCGCTCATTCAGGCTTTTTTTTTTTTTATTCATTGTGATAGGTAAACTTTCTTATTCATATCATTCTCAAAAAAAAAACTTTCCTCTTCCTATTATCAGCTTCTTTAAAACTTTAGAAATGCACAATCCCGTTAACAGACATTGCAATTAAAAGATTTTATAAATATAAAAGATGTGTGCTTTTCTTTTCCTATAATTTTATGCCAGGGCTGTTTTCAGTGAATGTGTTCATCCAGATATGTGGATACTAGATCTTTTGATATCTACAAGATGATCAAGCTTGCACTCGTATTTTTTTTAAGCATTGTTTTCAACCGAGTGCCAAGTTTGCACCAAAGATGCCAAGGATTTACCCTCACCACCTGTGGATTCCCGCCCATTCTGTTCAATCATCACCCATTCAACACCATCCCATGCAGCCTTCTCTTTCACCATGTTCGGAAGCAAGTACGCAGGGATGTACTCATCTCTGTTGTTTCCGTCTACTCCAGAGTTTTTGTTAGTGCCCTGATGATGATGTACCAGAGCTCCAGCCTTTGTCCTAATCCCAGTTCGAGCGACTGCTGCTAATTTCTGTTCTCGTCCATCACGTAAACGCTCTGATCGTTCGATGAAGCGAGCGATGTTCTTGATAGCAATTCTTGAAGATTCAAAAAGTAAGGAAAGGATCTGATGAACATGGACCATGTCTCGATACGTTTCCACTCGGATGATTCGATCCGGGTGCTCCATACCGATCCGATGAGCAAACAGTCGACTATCATCCACAAGTCGGTCGTGTGTTGCAGTTTGCTATTCTCAAAATAAAAAAATAATAATAAAATGAGTCAATGAGAATGAAAAAACTTTTAAAAAAGTAAAAGAGAAGAGGATCATCTTACAAAGAGAGTGTTGGTAAAACCGCCGAGGGAACCTTCGTTTGCGAATGCAATGGAGATGAGTGGATGCTGAGCCAGGTGGGTATACCATTGCCAGTATCGATCTTTTCCAAGTGCATTTCGAGCGTTCGGAACCAAGTTTTTGTCACCGCAGACATAGATGCAAGCATAGTTTTGCTAAGGTTTCAGAAAAAAAAAAAAAGCTTTGATTAGCAAAATATGATTATACTTGCTCCTCGCTATTGATCATATATAAAACATACCTTTTTGTATTCAATAAATGCTTTCTTATCAAATGGTGATGTTCCAATGGGTCCGGGACAGAAACAATGCCAGTCAAAGCTTTTACCTGCAGGCAACGAGGATGTAATGTCCATCCATGGCTATAAATGGATATCAATGGCAATATTTTTTATTTTGTCAGAAAAATATCGTGTGGGCCACCTTTAAATTTATGTAATTTGTACACTTACGGACAACAACAGAGCTGCATGTGGTAAAATAAACTTTGGCTCAGTTGAAGGTTGGACATATTTGTTCATATACAGCATGAAAGCCGCCGCTATATTGCCACCAGCAGAATCACCCGCCACAACAATATTTCTTGGGTCGATTGGGAGTTGATGGACTGTAGCAGCTGAATTGTCGCCATCATCCAAGACCAAGGCCGTATGATTGGGTTCTGTCAAGTAGAGGAAAGCTGCAAATGCATCATGAACTGAGGCAGGGAATGGGTTTTCTGGTGCCAGCCGGTAATCCACTGAGAAAATTCGTGTCCCTGGTCCGATTTCCATCGCAAGACGTGCAAGTGTATGTCTATGTGTCTTGGAAGAACAGATGATGTGGGCTCCACCATGGAAATATAGGACCACAGTGTTGCTTCGAGGCTTGTTGCTGCTTTTGGATGAGTCCTCAAGAGCTTCGATCCATTCACCTGTAAGTGTATAGGTACCATCCGTATCAAGAGGCCCCACTTCTTCTGGGATATTCGCTAGAGGAGCATTTGGGCCTCGAGGATGCATCGACTTTAAATAACTTTCGCTAGGATTCATGGGGTCATCCGAAAAATTTGGGTAGTTTTCCAAAAGCTGTGCTCGCACTTCAGTCAAAGATGCGCGTTCAGGTCTAAGGAGGACATCCAACTTGACCTTGAACTTGATACCTTTAGTAATTTTGATCTTTTTGGGCAGAAACAGCATCTGTAAGGGCATAAAAGAATTCAATAGCAGGCCAATGAAACGAGCTTGACCCATAGTATCAATATCCGAACAGCCGCAGCGTAAGATACTGAAAAGCGCACTGGCCCACCATGACCATTCAACTGGATGTTGCTTCGTGGATCGTCTGAACCCTGTGAGGATAAAATAAGGTAATTCGAGACAAAACAGTCGGACCAGGGACCAAAAGATGAAGAGGATAGTAATGATTACAAAGACAGCATCGTCAGGGGTATGGAGGATGCCATTCAAGTGAGCACGTTGAGAGAAGGATGGGCGAGGAAATTGATTCCTGTGCGTAAAAGAGTAAGATTTCGGCTGTTGCTGGGTGGTTGAGTCAATGTCTGCTGGACAACTGGTGATGCAGTTTCCAGTACGGTTATAAAGGAGAGGGACTTTGACAGGTCTTTTCATAATGATATTTTAATTTACAGGTAAAAGGTAGAAAAGAACAAAGTGGAGAAAGAAAAGAAAAGAAAAAGAAAAGTGGTTTGATTTAACGGAAATAGAGTGGAAGGGTTATATGACTACAGGACCACATGTAAAATGGCATGTTGAGCTAAAAAAAAAAAAAAAAAAAAAAAAAAAGCAGGGGCCATCATATGTTTTTCTGATTTTTGCGCATGAAATCTTTGGGGCATGCGGGTTGATTGAGTTCTTGTCATACATGTCTTTGGCTGTGTTTCCTTTTATTATTCTCGTCCATGAACGTTCCAGACAAAGCATCTAATCTAACATGCTTGATATCGTAATCAAAGTGTTTGTTCACGTTGAGGTTTTATCCAATATTCATCTAAGGCCTCAATGAGACTACTCGTGTCATCATGTCCCTCTCGTTCAACGCCAAGAGTACTCACAACGATCCATTCTGCCCCAGGCTTACGTTCCTGATTCTGATTTTTGGATTTCAGTTGTGCATCTTCCACAAAAGCAACAATCGATCGAAGTGCTTTATCGGCTGAGGGCAAAAACTCAAAATACTGGTGCACGTGCACCATGTCTTGGTAAACCTCCAACCGCACGCGTTGCTTAGGATTAGCTTGACCAAGTTTATGAGCATACAAACGCGTGTCATCCGATAGTCGGTCGAAAGCGCCAGTTTGCTAATAACATGTAAATAGTTTTACGATGTGAATATTGTAGAAAAGCAACATTGAATACAACTTTGTGATGGCTTTTTTTAAAATAAATTAATATATAAATAGACTCACCAGGAGTGTGCTGCTTTCGAGGCCTGAGAGGTCTGCAGTAAAGACTGGAGAGACCAAAGGATGCTGGGCTAAATGCCGGTACCATTCCCATATAAGAGCCTTGCCGCCGGAGTTTCTTTCATTGGGTGCGTAGACCTCGTCTCCACATAAATAAGCCCTTGCAAAATTATACTGAAAAAGTAAACAGATCGTTAATAAAACAGTCTCATTCCTCTTTTTTTGACCTTTGGTAATCGTCTAGGACGTGCTTCGCGTGTTTTACAAAGGATTTTTTACCCCATTAAATGATTCAAACTTCTTTTGAGTAACAAAGGGGTTGACTCCCATGGGCGAAGGTGTATAGCAATAACTGTGCATATTTATCGCAGAGGGCATCGAGGTCGAAATATCAGTCCAGGCCTAAAAAAAAAAAGTATGTTTAGGTAAGCAACCATGCATGATCAATTGTTGTCATGAGTATATATAGTTTCCACGTTACCGAAATCAAAAGAGTGGCAGGTGGCATTGTGAGCTTGGGTTCAACGGAAGGCTGAACGTAATCTCTCATATAAAGCTGGAATCCAATGGCTAATCCACCACCCGCAGAGTCACCGCCGAGGACAATATCCTTTGGGTCAATTGGCTCCGTGATTGGTGTACTAGGATGCTGGATCGTAATAGCTTCATGTTGAGGTTGGGTCAAGTAAAGATATGCAGCATATACATCATGGATTGCCGCTGGGAAGGGGTCTTCTGGCGAAAGACGATAATCAAAAACAAAGGCTCTAGCGCCTGGACCAAACTAACATGCACATGTACACAGATTCGTCAGTCTCATGTCGAAGGAATAAAAAAGTAAAAATTGGGTCATACAGAATCTTTTTAGTTACACAAATACCTCGAGTAACATTCTTGTAACCAAATGACGATGGAACTTGGCTGAACAAAAAGAATGTCCACCTCCATGAGCATACAGCAAAACAACGTTGCTTTTTTTTCTGACATGACGCTTCTCTGGCAATGTCGCTGTAGGCTCGTCCAAAACTTCGATCCATTCACCCGTCAGAGTGTAAGTGCCATCCTTATTCAATGGCCCTGATTCTTCAGGAAGATTCGCTAGTTTGCCATTTCTTGGCAAAAACGATCTAAAATACGCTTCCGATGGGTTTAAAGGATTACGCCGTTCTCGAGGCCGTTGTCCTTCTGTCTCGAGGCCGAGTTTCTTTCGTGTCTCAAACAGGGTTTGGCGTTCAGGCTTCAAAAGGGTGTCCAGATGGACTTTGATTGTAACACTGGTATCAACTCTATAATTTTGTTTAGGCAATAAGAGCATCCTTGGAGGAACAAACCAGCTGATGATTGTGCTGACACAACGGAGTTGCGCTGGATTGCGGGCAGTGCCTGCACAGGCCCGGCTGAGGGTCATAGAAATGGAGTAAAACGGTCCCCAAGAGATTGGATGACGTGGAGAGTTTGTGGAGAGCCCCGTCCAAATGAGGAAAGGGATGTCGAGGATGAGGAAACAGGTAATGTGCTTGATAATCGAGACCAAAGCATGTAATATGAAAAGGATATCTACAGGTCTGTGGAGAACTCCTCGCAGATACATTCGATTCCAGAAAGATGAAGTGTATTCGCTTTTAGGATAGTGATAAATGGGCTGTTTGGATGGTACATCGAGTGTGGCATCCTGGTCGGGCACCAAAGGCGCGTCTTTTGGTTCTTTAAACTCGGGTGGCATCGTCAATGATTGTAGTGGCTTTTATTTTATTGTAAATAGGAGGAGAAGAAAGAACATGTTCAACCTGATCTATTGTTCATCATATTTATACAGTTTCTATGCACTGACCTATTCCTAGTTAATAGCCTGCGAAACTTATAGGGGTAAATTTGTTTGCTAACTTCACAATTGCATGTGAAAAGAAGTAGAAGTAGGAAGTAAAGAAAGGTACTTGACCATCCCTAGCTAAGAAGTGTGGTATAGGATAGAATTGCCACAATGATTTGAATGATTCTATTTCGATAGGCATGAATAAAGGAAAAAAAAGTGATTTCGCTATTTTTGCTTACTATTCTTTTTTCTTTTTGATGCTTGTGCATGTACTTAGTTTCATTGACTTCCCAAAAAGATAAAAGTCCCCCAAAAATGAACACAATGGAGGTTACATCAACACTGATGCATCTCAACAGTTGGTGTTCGCATTTGGCTATCTTTATCCTGTGCATGTCAATGACGGCATTTTTTATTTTTGCAGAGACAACATGTTATTGTGATGACTATGGCTGTATCACTTAAATCAACATGTAGTGGATGCCAGATGTTATTTTTTATCCCCTTACTCTTTTACTAGTGCGTTGTTACTTTTCTAATCTATCGGACATACAACATCATTACTCTCTCTCTTTTTTTTTTCTTTTTTTTTTTCTTTTCACTGAGCGCCCCTTCCTTCCCATGTAAACATGTAAAGTAAAACAAGCCAAGAAAAAAAAGGAGCATCAAGGATAAACAGACAGCCAAGAGTTTTTGTCTTGGCTTAGGTATTAAGAAGGGTTTTGTGACGAAGAGGAGAAACAGTATCCATGTTCATGTACAATAAATATAAGAATCATCTTCCATGGTCGATGCAGGTTTGCTCTACCAACGGTAATTGGAGGGGACAATCGCTTGTAAATCCAATCGTTAAAAACAAAGTTTAATTTCCGTAACCAAGCAAAGGTTCATTTCATCATCTCGTTCTCTTGAAAGCATAAAAGTCGACAACGGGAGTTCGGAAAAATGCGATCCACTTTTTTAATTTAATTCGCTCAAACAGCTCAATTGGAGCGAGGCATTAGTAGCTTTGAGAACCAAATCAAAGGAATAAAGGAACAACATTCATACCTTGATACCCTGTTGTCCATTTGGCTCTAGTGCCCTTCAAATATTAAAACAAAAAATGTGCCATTTGCTGTTTTAGGCAAATGTCTGACTTTTCGACTATTGCGTTCGCCTAAAAATGGCAAATGACTAATTTTTGTTTTAATATTTGAAGGGCGCTATTGAATTCCAGTAATAAGTGGCGTGCCATATCCTAATGGAAGCCCATTGACAGAGAATATTTTGACAACGGCCACAATAACAGTAATGACAATAATAATAATGGAAGACGCGTTCTGAAAGGGAAATGACAGTCCATTTTCTATAGCCTTAGGCGCTGTCTTTTATTTTGCGCTCGGATATTGGTTTCTTGAGGGATATATATCAAATGATCACCTGCTCTCAGCACCATTCATCCGTTATACACGCAAAAAAAAATATCGGCTTAAGATGTGTTACTTGATCATGTCGCCATAATCATGTACTTTAACGAACTGTTGGACCACGCGAGCAAAGAGCAAAAACAGATCTGCATCGATTTCGTCGATTTTGTAACATCAGGAAAAAAGTCATAAAAACCAAAAACCCGTGTCTTCTGCGCCCTTTTTAATTTTTTAAGGTTCTTTCTCTCTTCTCTTCTCCGCATTAGTCTTGAAAAGGATTATTTTGAACCAGCTCCATCTTTCATTCATTCGTTCGTTCGTTCATTCATTCATTCATTCATTCATTCATTCATTCATTCATTCATCTTTTTATTTTTTAATCTATTCTAAATCATATTAATCTCTATTGATCCCTTCTTCTACATCTTTTTAATTTCTTTTTTGCTGCCTCCTCTCCCCTCTCTCTGTCCTTTTCAAACCTGTTTCCCCTACCTGTTTTCTTGCTCTAAAATAATTTCATTTACCATGTCTAACGACTCTCAAAAAGAGCATAAGGAACGTCAACGGGTTACGAAAGGTATGTCTTCGAACAAGCATTCCTTTCGGGACTGGACACTAAAAAGTTTTCCGATAGCGCGTCATCCAGTATGTTTTATTTTCACAACAACCATCCTCACTACTACGCCAAAAAAGAAGAGCAAGAAGGAGAACAAGAAGAAAACAAAGAAGAAAATGAACCAGATTATCTGCAGTGACAATGATCGTCCTTTTTTCTTTTGCTTCTCACGAAGAATGGTACGATGCTAACCTGACTCTGATTGTCCTTTCTTTATTTTTCAGCTTGTGACAACTGTAGAAAGTAAGATCCTTCGCTACAACAACAGCAAGAATGTTAACAACAACGGCATCAGCATCGCTATTATTATTGATGGATTTAATAGAGAATGTGGATTTTGTACATTTATGAATGACTATGGGTGATGAATGAGACGCCTCAAGTCCTACACCTTCCAAAGTTCTAGTTACTGACCGGTGTCCATCTTCTTCTTCTTGTTTTTATATCCATTAATTGGCAACAACAGAAAAAAAATAAAGTGCGGTAAGTCGCCCCATCTTTGTTGTACATGTATGGTCGGGAAAGAGCAGAGCTTCTCCACCATCCAACCATCTCCAACCATCTCCAACCCCCTTCAATCCATCTGTGCCACTGGCAATCCAACCAACCACAGATACAACAGGGAAAAAAAAAGATCACCATTGGCCAAAAATGCGTGAGAAGCTATTTTTTTTCTTGTCACCCTGTGCTTTTGCTGACTCATGTTGTGTTTGTGTACTCATCCGATTTTATTACGAATCAATTGATATTATACTATGAATACTTATTTTTTTTTTTTTTGATATGGGATTGTTGATGAAACATAGATGCCAAAGGCGATACCTGTACAAGTTGTGAGCTTTTGAAAATTCCATGCAAGTGCCCCTAATTTGCTTTGCTGCTTTGTTGCTGTCATCATGGGTTTTTCTGTGGCTATGGAGTTATGGGTAGTCTAATGATATGATATTTTGACACAATCGATCCTTCTCTTCCAATAGGCTTGTACCTGGATCCCACTAAAAAGCGAGGTCCTCCAAAGGGAGCGGGACGTACGTTGCGATTATTAATATTCTTCGCTGTGTTTGCAATATACCTTTTTTTTTGTTAAAAAAAAGTTTTTTTAGTTTGTTTATCTGACTTTGCTCGTGGGCTGCCACTGAACTTTATGTAGGATATATCAATGCGATTGAAGACCGTCTTTATCGAATGGAGGCCATCGTAGGCGGATTGGTACAAAATGATGAACCATTCTTCCATGCTAGAGATGAGCCTATGCGATCACTACTGAACAGTTCGCCTTTGAGAAGCCAAGGTTCGAGGGATAGCTTTGGAGATAAGAATGGTTCCAATATGCATTATCAGCAACCCCAACCATTCCTTCAACACCCTCATCATGCTGATCCGGATCACCAACACCACCCACCTCCCTTACATGATTACAATAGCTTGATCCAACAACAACAGCAACAACAACAGCAACAACAACAGCAACAACAACAGCAACAACAACAGCAACAGCAACAGCAACAACTACAGCAACCATTTATGCAGCAAATGCAGAATCAACAATATTCTAACAATATCCTGAACATGCCACTCCACCAAAGTCCTGATCTGAGCTCACAGCCTCAACCAGAAAGCATCCCACAAGCTGTTGAACCTATTCGCACTACCTCGCTCCCTCGAGACCTAATTAGAGAGAATACATTTACATCCATTAATTCACCTTCGCCTGCTCTCAGTTCAGAACGATCCGTTACAGATTATGTAGAATCCCCAATAATCGCTCCTGATAACATACTGAAACAAGGGGTAAATACGCCATCCATTCCAGAAGTCGATGATCTGGAGGATGATATGGGTCATTTGACTTTAGACCAAGTAGGCCGTGAGCGCTATGTGGGCAAGTCTTCTCCGATGTTTTATTGTCCTCGACATTATGGTGGTCAACAATCTGCTCGAGAGCGCGAGTCCCAGAAACCGGAAGCACTCAAGTTCATTAATAATCCAGATTTGCCATCACCGGAAGAAATGACACATTTACTTAATCTACACTTTACCTATGTTCATCCCTTTGCACCGGTCTTTGTCTGGTCCAGCTTTTTCAAAAGGTTGCAGAATCACAACTATACACCATCCTTACTATTTCTGCTCAATTCCATTTTTGCCTTGGCTTCGCAATTCTCGGATGATATCTCTTTTCGATCAGATCCATCCAAGTCTGAGACAATTGGAGGTCGGTTTGTAGAAAAGGCCAAACAAATTTTGGATACCCTCTATGACACGCCCGACTTGTACTGCGTGGGTGGCCTTGTCTTGCTCGCTTTTCAACAGATGGGCACCGGCAATGGATATAGATCCTGGATGTACGTCGGCATTGCCGTTCGTATGGCCCAGCATTTAGGGTTGCATCGCGATTGCCTGAAGCTCAACCCTCACTTGCCCGCACTGGATCGTGAGGAACGTAATAGGATTTGGTGGACCTGCTTTATGGCTGACAAGATTTTATCAACTGCATTCGGCCGTCCCCAAGTATGTTTCATTGCAGCTCTCCAGTCTGTACCGTCTTCATGGTTGATCGTACCCAAAGAAAATAGCTTATTCAGATTTTTTTCTTTTTTCCATTTTTTTAGGGTATTACTGAAAACGATGTGGATGCCACTTACCCAGATGGAATTGATGAAGAAAACACTCAGATTGAATACAAGCTCGAAGGTGCAACGTCTATGCTCACAGGACCATCTCCCCAATCGGAAAAGAAGTTCATTTATTTGGTGTCTCTTACGCGAATTCTTGGAAGAGTGATGGCCAGCTTGTATAGTCCCATGTCCAGGGCTTCGTCAAAATCTAAAAGCTCCATGACCAACCCTGCGCCGCTAGAGCAGCTAGACAAGGAGCTTACAGACTGGCTTTTGACGTTGCCACCTCAACTCCAGTTCCGTTCTGTGCAGCAAGAGCCTGGAACATTTGTATGCATGCTTCACATGACCTTTTACACGGTATTGATTCTGTTACATCGGCCATACAGCCATCAGTCCTCACAAAATGCACCCAATGATCCATCCATCTCATTGTCCATTTGCACATCGGCCGCGAATAATTCAATCGAGATGGCCAGCAACATGATGAGGGCTACCGATGAGAAACGAGGTGTCTCCAGACTGAAGTGTCTGCTGTATTACTCTGTCCTCATCTTGTTTACAGCTGGAATCGTTCATACAACAAACTGCACTAGCACCGACCCTGTCCTGGCAGCCTCTGCAAAGTTACGGACGATTGAGACTTTGAAATGCTTAGCTATCGTTGAAGACGTTTGGATGACTGCGAGAATGGCAGCTGACAATATTCTTCTATTGCTCAAAGCGCGCAACATTGATCTACCGTATTCAACAGAAGGTAAAGAAATATTCGAGCATGTTTCGCTTGAATGACGTGTTTTTTGAATAAAAGCATCCATTTTCGACACGCGCCTAATTATCATCCTATTGATTGTCTTTAAACTAGTGTTTAAGAGTCTGCCTTTGACTAGTGTAGAGGACCTAAAAAAGAAGTTAGGGACAAGTTCTCAGCAACAAGACAACTCAATGGCAGCAGCTATTCAAAAAGAGCGATCGTTTGCATTTGATATCGACCAGATTATGGGCTACTATAATGGAGCAGGGGCTAGACATGCGGCTCCAATGGGACGCAATTCACGCCACTTTTCTCCTACGCCTTACTTCAGTCCTGTCGCTAGTCAGCGTCATTACAGCCAACAACCTCCCATGAAATCTCACCCGGGATTGATACAGGGCCACTCACCCTTACCACGTCGACCACGGCAGGGCAAGAACACGTCTCCATCACCGAGTATTAACATTGCAACATCCACACCGACCTCAACCTCAGTCACGACGCCTACGAGCGGTTATTTCCCCATCTTGCAGGAAAGCCCCGCGGCGACAAGCATGCCAATATACAGTAACAGTATTAACAGTAGCAGTATTAGTGGTGTCAGTAGTGGAGGAATTGGTAGCAACCTGAATGCCCATATCGACCCATTCGCTGCACCGGGTGCTGCGACCCTTACAAGTGCCAACTTGCAACACCCTCAACTACAACAAACTAAGCAAGATCAACATCCTCCGTCCTCCATTGGTAGCGATCAACTACCCATCAGCTCATACCAGAATCCATTTTCTTCGTCCTTCTGGAGCCTTCCTACCTCGATGGATAGAGATGAATGGATGCTTTATATGCAAAACAACGGAAGCAATCCAGGAAGTATGATAGACTCTGGTGTGGAGGTACAAAACAAACTCACCAACACCAACCATGACAACAAAGGCAACAGCGGTAATAACAGTAGCAACAACAATAGCAATAACAACAGTAGCACCAACTTGAACAATGCTCTTAGTAGTGAAATCAAAATTGAAGGCGCAAGGTTCGGTTCACCAAGAGAGTTTAATCCTGAATTGTTGGATCAGAATAACATTAACAACACGACGGTCAGCAACTCTGGCAACAACGGGATGTATTCGTTGGCACAAAATATGATGCAGAGTGAGCTCTCAGGTGCTGACCAAAATGGACTCTATATCAGAACGTCAAATGTAAGCGCTCCTACTAGCGTGGCATCTATACCCACATCATCTATGGCTTCAGATGGATATTTAATGCAACGACAATCCCAAACATCACAGCATATTCTTGCACACCAACCGCAGTTGACCACCCAGCAGCCATCCGAGTATTTTTAAAATAGAAGACTTTAGTTGCCTGTTTGTCTTTTTTATTTATTTTATTTTATTTTATTTTTAGCATGTACATAGTTTTCTTTTCCATTTTGTTCTTGTGAACTTGATTCTAACGAACTACTGATAGATTATCATGATTAATAATAAACTTTCATAGTATCTTTTTATTGTTTCTTGATTTTACATTTTAACTTTTTACATATGCATGGTATTTATCAATGACGACCACCCTTGGAAAAGTCATGGAGGGCATCCATTCCAACAACATTTGGGTCAGGCTCCCAGAACGCCTGATGAACACCAATTAAAAAAAACAAAAAAAAAAAGTCACATGAGCTTTACATTATAACAGGATATTGAGGTATTGGAGTGATTGAGAAAGATAGAGCTTACCAATTCTGTGGAACCACTGACCATCATTAGGTATTTTGGATTGAATGCGACGATATGGCTTGGGGTTCCATGAGCTTTCAAGGCCTTGAATGGTCTTAATTCACCATCAGGGCTCAGCAAATTTGAAGATGATTGCCCCAAATCTCCATTAACGCCTGTATTTGTCGCAGCACCATTGACGCCCATATTATTATTGTTATGATTGAAGAGGCCCAGGGCTTGATCGGACATGGCTTTAGCGATATCCCAGACATAGATACTTCCATCCCTTGAGCCAGAGACGACACATTTGCCATCAGGGGTCCAACAGGCCTCTCCACCACTTTGAAATGGTTCATCGTCATCTCCATTGCCTGCCCCTCCTCGACCGCCTGCTCCTGAGAAGGTACTCCTTCCGAGCCTAGGGCCAAAGCTATAACTGTTGTAATGACCGACCAAACGAAGTTTTGTGGCGGAGGGCTTATAGGCATCGACGATATAATGAGCATCACCCGCAGTGCTGACAAGGATGTTTTTCCCATCTGAAGAGAATTCAAGCTGGGTGACAATGATGGGCGAAGAAGATGTTGATGATGACGATAGTATAGGATTGTTGAAGGTATTGTTGTAACCATTTTGATTATTTTGATTGTTAAGGCCAATGATAGCAGTTTCGAAGGGGCCCTGATCAAAGACTTTGACATCATATAAACGCAAGGTAGAGCCGATAGCGACTGCAAAGACGAGACCACTAGGGTCGAATGCGATAGCAGGTCGACCGATGACTGAAAGTGCACCTTGACAATTGGGACTACGAAGATCCCATAAACGAATTGAACCTTCACTTCCTGCTAGGAATTGATCATCCAATGGAGACATTTCCAATGCAGTGACCCTTTTTATTATTGTCATTATTGTTATTGTTATTATTATTATCATTTTTTTTTTTTTTTTTTTTTTAAAAAAAAAAAATAAAAAATAAAAAATAAAAAATAAAAAAAAAAAGTAACAGAACATGGAGGTTAATGCTAATAATTGTTACATGAAATAACAAAAAAAAAAAAAAAAAAAAATGCGGACAAAATTAAAAATATAAATATTTAGCATGACATGGCGAAACAAGTGTTAATTCATACTTCTTTTCATGTCCTCGAAAGTATCGAATGTATTTGTTATCATGCAATGAGAGATATCGGAGAGTATCTAAAAAAAAAAAAAAAAAAAAAAACCAGTCAGCTTGGTCAATTAATCAGTTTGATACTTTTGACGTTTTTTTTTTTTTTTTTTTTTTTTTTTAGCTTTATCCATTTACCATCTTCTTTTGTCGAAGCATAGACGACATTAGTAGATCGATGTGTAAAGCGGGCGAGATGAACACCATATTTTTTACTGAATAATGTTTTATCTAACCTTTTTTAAATATTTAATGTATTTGTCCAAAAAAAAAAAAAAATCACCCATTAGTACTTGAGAGTTGATTTCCAATATTTTTTTTTTTTTTTTTAAATACTTATTTACAAAAAAAAGAGGCATTAATAATAAAAAAAGACTTACTTTCCAGTGACACAATCATAAACATGTAGACTTTCATCTTGAGCACTGGTAACACATTTGACTCCAGTATCATCAAAGTCAAGGGAAGTAATGATGTTTGTATTGTCCTTAAAGATCTTTGAGACCTTAAGAGATCCAAGTAATGCAGGTGTTAAGACAACAGGGGGTGGTAATTGAGCATGGACAGTTGTTCCTTGGAGAATGTTATTTGCATTGCTACTACTGACGCCGTTGCTATTGTTGTTGCTATTATTGTTGTTATTGCTGTAGCTGTTGGACATTGAGTAGTCCATGATAGTTCAAGAAATCGTAGAATGGTAGAACGGACGCGTTTTTTTAAAAAAAAAAAAAAAAAATGAAAGTCCACCGAAAAAAATAAAAAATATGAATAAAGTTCGAACAGCCACCTGTACCGTAAAACGGGCAAATTCGCCCATTTAGCTTTTGCCAACTTGGGCGATATACACAATCGGTAAAAGTCAATCAGTAAAAGCATAACCATTCATCAAGCTATATCATCATGATCCATTACGTTCATCTTTCACTTGTCCCCACTTCTCATTTTACACTCCTTCTACCCCAGCCTAAAGGTAAAAAAAGCACCAAGTGTCTACCTTCTATTCCTTCCTGACTTTTTGTTTTTGCTAGAGATATGTTGCCGAGAGCCAGTCTCTATACTGATCTAATAAGTTAATTGTCGTTCGAATTTTTTTTTTTTTTTTTTTTTTTTTTTTTTTTTTTTTCATAGATATTTTGCTTGTATAGTGTTAATGTCAGGATTGTTCTAGTTGTGCGAGTTGCGTGGTCCAACAATTTGGCTCATTAACAATAGCCGGTCAGGAGATTGGATACCCTGAGAGGCGCCGAGAATGGCCTTGGCTCTCTTGTTATTACTTCCAGTAACTGTCTCTGGAGAGTTACCAATGCTTATCCCAGCAGCAAAGTGTCGCCCTTCTCATAGCCCGCCATAATCTGGCAAGACAACTCTGAGTTATGTTTTACAAGGCTACTTCCTTGCACGCCAAATACTTTACTTTTTGTGCTACTCATGCTTCAGCAACCTATGAAGGTTTTGAGGCTTCTTTGTAAGCTTCAGCTTGGATGTACATGTACATGCATATGGGACCAAGTGATTCACTGTGACAGCAGCTACATCCAAATATATGGCGCGGATAAGGTACTCCTCTGTACCAACACCATATGACCATTCGGATCGGACCAATTCTGGGATGACGAGTCTATTAGGCGTTTTGCCGGTATCGGGAAGCATCTCATTTGGATTTAGGGCAACACGAGTCAGAATCGCCCTCGCCATCGCCCCTGTACTAAAGTCAATGGCCTTAGAGTATAACACGTCAGGGTAGATCATTGATAATTAGCCATTTGAAAGCATTGAGGGATGCAAAGAAAAAAAAAAAAAAAGCTCAAAGGCAAAGGGTATTGACGAAGTATTCACAGCGTGTAGATAGAAAGGTAATGTCAAGCCCGCAAAGTCCGCTCGTATTTGATTACAATGATGAAATGCTTATCAGTGTAAATGACTGCATAACTGAGAATTTATCTAAATGAACGTGTGGAGTCATGTCCCGTGGTCCGTGTTTTATTTTTTTTTTCCCATGGTTTTCCCTTTTCTCTCTATTCTCTCTTTCTTCTTCACCCAAATTCGATTAAAACACACTTTATATATCCTTTCCAATTTTTATCATTTTTCTTTCTCTCTCCTTCTCTTTATTCCTTGCCTTTCCCTTTATTCATTTATTCTTCAAGATGGAGAAACGCGCCCTTCGTTCCAGTGCTCGTTTAGCAGCAGCACAAGCAGCAGCAACTTCAAATACTAATCCTGATAATGATAAGAACACAGATACTTTACAGTCAACAGCATCTTCCTCTGCATCAGCAACGGCTGCTCGACACAGAGCTCTTTATAAACCCAATCCATTGACATCAGAGACAGCACAGGAGGGTATCACCCGACGAGTCAAGAAGGATGCACAACTAAGGAAACTAAGACGAGAGGAGTTGGTCAGTGCAAAGAGGTATAAGCGTTCCAAAGAGACCGAAGAGTTGACAGGAGGTAAAAAAGCATTATTTTTTTCTAATTCTCAATTACCCATATTGTTATGCTCTCCTTCAAACTCTTCAAGCAGTCGTTTTGCACCCTCTTCTCGTTTTTCACTTGCTCTCTTCTCTTTTCTTTGTCTTTGAAGTCAACTATGAATCCCATGATGACGATCTGGGATGATTGTGCACAAAGACAGAAAGACTTTTTTTATTCAGCCAAATATCTTTCTCACGTATTTTTTTTTTTTTTTTTTTTTTTTTTTTGCAAGTCTGGTTGGCCCAATCAAGGGAAGAGAGAGGAGAGAGGAGAGAGGAGGGAGGTGCTTCTCCAAGGAATGATGCATTCTGCATGAATTTATTGTTTGTCAGTCACCCATTTTATGATCTTATTTGGCATCGTTTCCTTCTCTTTAATCCCTAACCTTCTTTTATCCAGGGCAACAGCTGCAATGAATACGAAGATCTGATTATTTTATTTTATTTTTTTTTTTTCCCCCTCTCTTTTATTGTTTGGGCTCTGGTTCTGTTCCCTTTTCATATATATATAAAAAAAAAACAAATAAAAAATGATTTCGCGGTTCAAGATGAAGAGACCGTGGAGCTGGAGAAGGAACAGATTGACAGCGTCCAAGCTTTATTAAAGGTGAGGACCCATTATTATTAAAAAAGGGTGCATTGACGTTTATTGCCATACAAACAAATATACGAGTGTCAATACAAAAAAAAAATCTTCCTTCCTTTTTTTTCTTTTCTTTTCTTTTCTTTTTTCTTTATTGGATAATTTCTAACGGGTGCATGAGATCTTTATATTAATCTTTTTTATTTACGGTGGCAGAGTGGTAAGAAATCGGATAAAACCGATGCACTCAAGACTCTGAGTGATTACTTGACATCCTACAATGATTCCAAGGATCTACAAGCTATGGTCACCAACGGAGACTTTATGAAGATTATTGAGGTAAGTATCTTCCTCGAAATGAAATGAAAAAGCCTAGCTGCTCTTTTGCTTGTTGACCCACAATTTTTTTTGTTTGTTTGTATTATTCAATTATACTAGGGAATACTCACCGGAACAGACGCTGAGGAACAGCTCCTTGCAGCCTCAGTGGTGACCAATATGGCAGCTGGCGGATCGGCAGAATTATGCGATGCTGCATTGAGTACCGCTCCACATTTGATTCAGTTCCTTGATAGTCAAAACATTGCCTTGGTAGACCAGTCCGCTTGGGCATTGGGCAACATTGCAGCTGAAGGACCCAAATTAAGAGACAGACTCAAGGACCTTGGAGCCTTACCACCTCTAATCAAATTGCTCGAATCAAAGGTAAAAAAAAGAATAAAAAACGAAAATGTTGTCGAACCCAAAAGCTGAATGTTTCTATTTTGGCAATGCAGGATTTGAATTTAGTCCAGACTGTTTGCTTCGCCTTATCGAATATGGCGCGTGGAGAAGGCGCGAATCAAGAAGAGCTCGTCAAAGCTGGTCTGCTTCCATCGTTGCTTCATCATCTCCGCGTTGACACAGTAAGGAAAAAAGAAAAAAGAATAAAGAAAAAAAAAAAAACTCCCCTTTTTTAAAATAAAGAAAATGAATATTAATGCTTTCTCTATTTATTTATTTTTATATTGTAGGATCCTGCTGTGATATCTGAGGCCGCATGGGTGATCGTCTATTTGACTACAGGGCCTGATAATATTAGTGCACAGTTACTAGAAAATCGTCTGATTCCTCTACTCGTAGCTCCTCTGAAGGACTTTTTGGATCGAAAGGCACTGGCCATTCCATTAATCCGCGCTCTTGGTAATATTGCAAGCGGACCTGATAACAACACCTCAGCATTGATCCATGAACCGGAATTCCTACCTTCTATGCTTCAACTCATTCAATCAGATTGCAGGTAAAGGAAAAAAAAGAAAAAAGAAAAAAGAATTCTGTTGGCTTTTAGTCTTATTTTGAAACATTGCTTATCCATTTCTGTACATCTGACTTAATACGTTCGTCCAAATATTTGTACATAGACCCGTCAAGAAAGAAAGTCTTTGGCTCATGTCCAACATTACTGCAGACCACGCAAGCCAAGATCTAATTAAAGTCATTGAAGCAGGATTTATTCCTGTCCTGTCTCAAATTGTGACCCATCAAAACTTTGATATCCGGAAGGAGGTAAGATAAAAGAGCCATTTCAGTAGAACCGCTTTTCTAAATATTTATAATATTATATTAACACTTTTTTCCCTTCCTTCCTTTCTTTCTTTCTTTCTTCTTCAATGCCCTTAGGCGGCTTATAGCTTGATTAATCTTGCTTCACATGGTCCAGAGTATGCAAAAGTTCTGCCACATCAAGAGTTACTCCCAGGATTCTTGGATTTTATGCGGACAAAGGACATTGAGCTGATCTCGTTGGGTCTTCGTTACGTTCAATTGTTACTCAACTCAGGAATCGCAGAAGCACCGACGATGCTCTCGGAGATGAACGGTGTTGATGCCCTCGAATCAGTCTTGGTCTTGTCGGAAGATCGAGATCAGCATCGTTTGGCCTCCTTATTGATGGACACCTATTTTGGTGAGAATAACAACGGATCTAGAGTCCCCACCCCTATTCCTGGAACACCCACACCTGATCATCACAATCCCGGCAGCGATAGCAATCCGCAGTCGACACTGGATGGCGATGGTAGCACCGCATTACCACCACAGTATCTCAAACGTGCTAGTCTTTCTGCTGCAGTTTAAAAAAAAAAAAAAAAAAAAAAAAAAATCCTCATAGGCGAAAAACATTCTTGGGTTGTATCATTTTTTCAAACAGTGGAATCCTTATTAAAATAGTTCCTCAAAAAAATGAAAATAAATGATTTTTTATTTTATTTGAACTGTCAAAATATAACTCATTTTGCAACGATGCAGAGGATTTTAAACATTAAGTTAAATTTCAAATGCCGATTAATGTACACACTGTTGATTCAGTTTTTTTTTTTCCCTCTTCCCTTCCCCAATCATCTCACTTTTCACTTAGTTTCCAAACTGTCTTCCCCCTGGGTGGATTCAACTTCTGATGACTCAATTGGTTCAAATGCTTGGTCTGATGGCGCTTCTTTAGGAATGCTACTACTATCACTGTTGCTGTTGTTGTTGGTGTTGTTATTGTTATTATTATTGCTGCTGTTGCTAGGATCGCTGGAGGCAGCCTGAGCCATGCTCTTGATCGGGCTACTGCTTTCTGATCCTCCCACAGTTGCAACTACACCAAAGGTTGGTGTGGTGTTATTGACCAAAACTGGTGTCCATACCTTCACATTGAACCGCTGTTGTATCCGTACAACTCGGCCCACAGCAGTCTTCTCTTTTCCCCTATCATCATCCCCACCTGCTTCACCTTCTTCACCTTCACCCTCACCTTTTTCTACTCCTTTGTTTCCCGATCCATCTTTTGCATCTGTTCCCCCATCCATTTCGTTACTTTGTTTTGAAACTTGATCTGTTGGTTCAAACTTCAGTCTAGCCTCGGGCCCCATCCACGTCTCTCGACCATCTTGGAATGCCTGAAGAGCTTCTGCAGCCAAGGTTGCATTCTTGAAAACAACCAAGCACTGACCAAGAGGATCTTTTGTAGAGGCTTTAAGACGTCTCAGCTTCGCTCCTGGGGGTAAGACTAGATCTTCAAAAATGTCGTCTTGTGCATCATACTCATGAATTTCCAAGATGTGGCTTAGGCTGGGTACCTTTTCAGATTCTAAAGGGAGGAGGGGGAGCATATATGATTTATATGATTTGAAATAGACATCAGTCTCAATAATGCTCTTCCCCTATCTCTCTCAAACAACAACAGCAATAACAACAACAACAACAACAACAACAACAACAACAACAACAACAACAACAACAACAACAACAACAACAAAATCGAGAACAAGCTATAGCCTTACCTGATGACGTGCCCTTGGAAATACCATCATAGGATGGTGTGGTGAGAACTGAATAGTCATAGAGCAAATTGGCCTTCTTATTAGTATTATGCGATCCAGCATTACCGCCGCTATTATTTCCTCCACCACTGCTGAACCCGGTTGAGGAAGAAGAGGAATACGAACGATTCATTCCTACAGGAACATGTGGTTGGAAGCTTTGTTGATGTTGATTAATATGCTGTTGTTGTTGCTGTTGATATTGATGTTGCTGTTGATGAGGATGAGTATGAGCATGGGGATGAGGATTAATGTTTGGATGTTGCTGCATTTGCTGATGGTGTTGCTGTTGCTGTTGCGGATAATTGTTGTTGAATGGCTGTCCATGGTAGCCTACATGTGGATGGTGTAAGTTTATCCCTTGAGGTGACCGATCGCCACCCAGCATCATTGCCTGCCCAGCATCCTGTGAAGGCATGAAACCTCCATCATTGTAGCCCTGATGACGGACTCCACCTGAATAATCACTCTGTCCACTACCGCTGCCGCCACCGCTAAATGACGAAGGGCTGTTAGGATCAAAAAGTTCAGTCGACTTGGGAGGTCTCCGCTCTACGTCATACAAGACATGCCCCCCTCCTCCTCCAGGTCCTCCCATCATTGCAGGCGGTTGGCCGCCAGCAATAGGCCCCGGTCCCGACCCTGGTCCTGGTCCCGACCCTGGTGTCTGCATAGGCATTATAGATGAGCCCTGCTGATTCATTGGTGTATTAGATTGATAATTATTATACGGTTTCTTCCCCCCTATTGGAGCCTGCGGCATGGGGTTATATAACATTGTGGATGGATCGACTTGACCAGGCCCATTCCAACTCTGACCTGGTGGGTATCTTGGCTAAATTGATGTTTGAAAATTAAGAAAAAAAACCGTTGGTTTTTTTTTTTTTTTTTTTTTGCTTTCAAAATAATAAGAGACATATCCAATATAATTTTTTTTTTATCCCTTGTAAAAATACGTACAAAACTTTCATTAGGTGACGTTGTGAGCGGCTGATTGATAAATCCGGGATACATGTTTGGGCCAGCCTGGATGTCACCAGGCATCGAGTGTGTGGGATAAAAGTCTGGGCCAAATTGTAGTGGCGGTACCTGCCCAACATTGCCTTCAAATGGTCTTCCGAAACGTTGCGCATGCGAGAAATCATCTCTGGATGAAGGCATATTGTAATTGTAGTTGTTGTTGTTGTTGTTGTTGTTGTTGCCATGATGATACTGCGAATGATGCATTTGTGGGTGTGTCCTTGCATGATGTGGATGTTGAAAGTGAGGTTGATGTCCATAATGTTGCTTCGAGTTGGGATTGCGTCGACCACCTCGTTGAGAAGAATGGAAGGGTTGTTGATGGTTATTTACGTGGTTATGCGAAGAGTTGGGAGGGTTGGTATTAATATTATAGGGTTGCTGGAGCATGTTAGGACCGGAGGAGGGATACTGTGTTAACGTGTTCCCATGCGGGAAAGCTGGATTAGAATCCTGGGATGAATTATAAAATGTAGGTCCATCATGGCCGGTTGGTATCCCACGCTCAGGCCATGGCGATGATGTCCCGGGCTGTGGGTAGACATAAGGGGTGTTTGTTCCATTACTGAAGGGATGCCCTTGAGACGACGGGCCAGATTGATATGTTATGGGACCATTGTTAAATCCACTATTCATTGGGGTGTGGCTGTTGCCATGTTTTGGATACGACTTTTTCGGAACGAACGCTGGGGCATTTATACCCTTGACGAAACCTGGGCCTGAAGATTGGTGGCCGTAATTAAAACCAGAGGCATGGTTGCCCCCAGTGTTGTTGTTATTGGGATGATTACGATGTTGTTTGTGCCCACCAGGATGAGAGTACGAAAATGAGGCTCTTGAGCTTCCGCTACTCATTGGTGAGACTGACCCGGAGTTGGATGTCGGATTCTGTCCAAAATAATCGTATGCTTTAGATGGGGCAGAATTAGAGGGTGAATTCGTTGAAGGTGATTCCGTTATTATGGACCCAAGGTTGGGGCTTTGAAATCCGTCCTGGCTTGAAGATGATGAGATTGTCCTCGCCAGTCCAATTGGTGTCTTGACTGTGTTTGATGAAGAGGAGGTATTCGAGGCAGTGCTCTTGCGCCTTTTCGGATCTGCGCACTCTGCCGCCAAATCGCCTTTGGATTGTTTGGTCTTTGGTCCAAGTCCCTTGCCGGTGCTCTTGGGATTAGAGTCCTGACCGCCGATGGTCGGAAGAGGCGATGGAGAGGTGCTTCTCGAGACGCTACGCGAGTTTGGGGACGATTGGTTTTGCTGGCGAGAGTCCACATCGTTCTGTTCCTCTTGCGACCGAGTTGTTCCTGACCCCGTTCTTCTTCCATTCGTCTGCTTCCGACCGTTCTTGTTTTTGAGACTGTCGTCACATGATTCCTGACGTGGAGAATCGCCCAGGGGTGCTGTTACTGGGGAAGAATCACATCGTGAATTAGATCCAGAACCATCAGACTTTGATTTTGAAGAAGCATCCTCTTGAAAGATACGTGCTCTTGCTCTGGCGTACGCCTCCTCTCGCTCCTTTATAGAAATAGTCTTGCGATCAGGCTCTGTTGATGCTTCCGGAGTAGGTGTACCGCTAGCAGGTCGATTCGGGTTCCTCTTCAACAGTTTCATCTGCTTTATAGGCTGTTCTTCTTCTTCTTCAACTAAATCTGAGAATCGCAAAGGAGGGCTAGGGTACCAAAACCAAAAAAGAAAAAAGAAAAAAAAAAAAAAAAAGGAGTAGGTGGGATTAATATTTCGTCACAATAATAATAATAAATTTGCCCAATTGATGCGCAGCTCCAAAAGTCTTTTACTCACATTGCGGATTGCTCAGTCTTGTACAGGATGATTTTCCTGTTCTGTGGATCTACAGCGCGAGTAATCTTGAAGTAATTGGCGACACGATGGATAACCATACGGTAATAAGAATTGAGTGATGGGAACTCTAGTTGTTCTTGACTGCATTAAATGTATGAACATGTGTTTGTAAAAAGAAAGAAGAAAGAAAATAAAGTCAACATTAGCAAAAGGTTTTTCGTTTATTATGCAGCATGAAAGGAAGAAAAAAAGGAAAAAAAAGATCAATTGCTCCCCCATACCCATACATACCTCGGATTGTTAAGAAAACTACAAAACTCGCGGTCCAATTTGAGAAGAAAGATTCGATCCTGTCGATTTTTGAGTGCATTGACCAAGAACTCATCCAGAGCCATGTCTCCTCCTGTGTCATTTGAGTCATCCTCCAACTCTAATCCTTCTAGAGTCCTTGTCAGCCCCGCTACTTGTTCTTGAGATGCCGATGAATGTTCAGTTGATGTGAGGGGCGTATTACTGCCGGAGACGGTACAAGGCGATGATTCAGATGTATTTGCATTGGGCCGTAGTATCGTAAATACAGGTTGTTGTTGCTTTTGCTGTTGCTGTTGCGAGTCAGTGGCAGTAGCCTGTTCTCCATTAACAGCTGAAGCAGCTATTGTATCATCCACTGTTGCCGGCTTTTAAATAAGATGATATATATTTGCTTTTTTTTAGTATAGTTTTCAACAAAGATCAGGGGATCCTCGCTAATAAAAAGCGCGAAGAGGGAGTTTATAACTTTTTTTAGATACCTTTGAGTCTCCAGAGTTCTGTGCCATCCTTGTTTGAGTGAGTTGTGAGTGATCAGACGATTAATTCCCTTGTTCTTTTTAAGTGAAATGACAGGTGTTTTTTAATGAATATAATTGAGCTCGGTGCAAAATCACAAAGATGAACGATTGAGGATGCTGACTGATGCAAATAAGAATAAAAGAGAGAAACCATGCATAAATCAAGAGGAGAAATATATAAAATAAGAAAAAAAGAAAAAAAGAAAAAAAAAGAGTAAGGAAGTGGCTATAAGCTGGTTTGAGCCCTGTTGTGTAACCCTTCAAGTGCGGCGTTTGGGTGCCTGGTTGTTCTGGTTATCGGAACTAAAATGTTTACAAAAAAAAGAAAAAAGTTACAAGGACAAGTAAAAAAAAAAAATGGAGTCAAAAAGGGGAAGAAAATCCTGATTGAGAACACATAGAGTGAAAAGGATTCCTGTTCAAAAAAAAACAAGAATATCAAATAAAAAGTGGAGTTTCAGTTCTACTGCAGAATAGTAAATGGTCAAGGATAATGTTGAAAAAAAAAAAAAAAAAAAAAAAAAAAAAAAAGTAAAGAAGCTATTGCGGAAAAGAGGAAAATCAAAGGCTAAGGAAAAGTGAAAAGTGGCAATAGATTCAGCATCAAGGAAGTATGACAATTGGTTCCATGGCTTAGCAATACATCAAGGCGTAGTCACAATAAAAAGATTCATGTAGAGAAAAGGACCCTTGAGTTTTAATTAGGCAATCATAAAAGAAAATGGTCAATCCCAAGGATGTAAAGGAATGAAAGGAAAAAAAAAGTAGAAGAAAAGTGTGCCAAGTTGATTAGTTGAATGCATGTTCATGATGGTTGCTGTAAGTAACACATGCATTAGAAAAAAAATCCAATGACGTTTTTTGTAATTTTTTTTTCAATTAAATACTAGTAGTACATGTTCAGAGTGGGCGTTTTTTCTTTGAAAGTTTGGCTGCTGTAATTACTTTGGAAGTAGTTGTCCGTTTTGAAGTCACCCTTGATGTTTGCTTGCTGCCTTTGACTTGGCGGGTCCCTTCCTGACGACCAGACGTGCACGCGTTTGCAAAATGGCCCTTCTAAAAGGAGTTTTAAAGCCAAATTTAATACGACTTTTACTTCGATCCAAGTTGAATTATATACATATATATATCGTATGTATATGTATCAGTATATCGATAGTAACAAATATGCTTTGATAGTGTAAACATACCTGATTACATTTATAGCAAACAGAGTCCGACCGGGAGGAACTAGTTTTTGATTGTAATGGACGATTGCCACTGCCACTGCCACTGCCATTCCAAGGTTCAGAGACCTGGTTTACATCTAATTCATCATCCCACTTAAAGAAACCGCAGCCAACCTGCTTGCTACACCGCCAAAACATCCGGCCGTTGTTCTTTGATGATTTTAAGTCCTTGGCCACAAGTCCACAAAAGCATCTCGGTCTCCTATCTCCTGTACTTCCTCCCGCCTCCAAATTCTGTAGAAATGCCTCCATGACCATCTACAGGAACAACATATTTAAATATGATGAGATTGGATGAACAGATAATAAGATGACCTGCCAATAACTTTTTTTAAATAAACTTATCATACCGGATAATTGAAATTATCCAGTACAGTTAAAGTCCCATATTTACCTCATTCGCGCGTTGTGGAGTATGATCACCATGTTCAATCGACTTTGAGTTCGATCCACTTGTATTGTCTGCAAATTGGAAAAAGTCGCACTGTTCGTCACCACGTTTGGCGCATGTGTAAAACAGTCGACCCTGATTCGGGCCCTCCTTCATCACTCTTCGTTCAACTGCCAAAGGTCGTCCCTCGCAATGACAGAAAGGTATGGCTGAAGATTGCATCGCTGTTACCTCTCGAGACAAATGTTGAGGCTGTGCCTGGGCTTGGACAAATGCATTAACAGGAGCCACATTTTCAGTATTGGGATTGTATCCCGGTCTTGAGTGATACCCTCTACCGCTTCCTCCTCCACCTTGATTATGTCCATTGTCTCCTTGACCACCTCCTACATCTGGACCCGGCGGTCGACCTACTGGGCCTGGTGGTGGTGCCGCATCAGGTCGGCGCCGTAGATGACGTTCAACTGCCTATAACCATCCAATGCGTTAGTCTATGCTCACCAGTGTAATCGTCAAATCCAAAGGGTCCATTAAATAGCCTTTTTTTTTTTTTTTTTTTTTTTTTTTTTACCTCTTGTAATATCCTCTTATCCCTGTTGACAATCTCAAATACGTTGCGGTACATCTCAATTGCCTCCCGAACAACCTGATCCTTACTTTTGTTTCCAGAACAAATCAGCTTTAGATTGCTTTCAAGCTATTAACAGCAAAACCAATAGAATGAGATGCTGTCGTTAGTTTATTTGCATAAAAAAAAAAAAAAAAACAAACAAGGAGAACGTACCGCACAAGATATAGTTTTCGAATAACTTACTTGACTTCTCAAGAATGGTTTCGAGAGACTCATATCCAATCCAATGTTATCATACCCCTCCACAAGAGCTATCCCCAGGGTCGACGGTGTGAATACATATTCTTTGTCACGCTTGCTTCGAACAACGTACTCTCGTTTGGTAATAGTCTTGATATGCTCCGCAATAGTAGCATCCGTGCCTATCTCCCATGATACATTTGGAAATTGAGAAATAAAATCGGAGAATTGATTGGTGATTAAAATCAGAGAAATTTATTATATTAAATTTGGCGATATCTGTAAATATCTGTGTCACGCCCTTACCGATCCCATTCTTATCCATTAACGCGATAAGTTGACTTTCTGTCAAAAGAGTAGGGGGGGTGGTTGCACCCATTTTCATTAAAAACTCTGTCGGTATAAATTCTTCGCCTTCTGAAAAGTTTGGAAGAACTGTCCCTGTCCATTTATCATATGGATATACATCCAGGTAGTTGCGCTCTTTGATAATCAATCCAGTCGCTTTAAATGATTCGGTATGGATAGTGGCTTCAATATCCGTCTGATCGCCTTTAGCATCCTCAGCACAGCAAGCAAGGAATCGACGCGTAATAAACTCGAAAACGCGCTTCTCATTCCCGTCCAAGTTTTCTGTATGCATTACTGGATGAATAGGTGGATGGGCTTGATCATTATTTTTTCCTCGTCTTGGATTCCGATAGCCTCCTTCTACAAGTCGCTGTGCAAATCGGCCCCACTGACTATTATGTGTTTGTTTTTCAATAAGACTCATCAAATTGTAGTTTGCATCGAATTGATCCGTCTCAGTTCTAGGATAAGATATCCATCCTTTCATATAAAGACTCTCTGCAGCCTAATGTCCATCGTGATACCAATAGAGCATCCGTATTAGGTAAACCACACATAATCCTCATATAGGCTTTATCCAACATATATATTGTACATACTGTCATAACTTCATCAGAAGGGATCGATAGGAATTTAGAGCCATTCTTCTGAAGTTCAACCGTGGTCAGTGGTAGTGGCCGGCTAGATAGCCATACATGAGATGATCGCACAATTGTTAGTATTATATAGTAAAATAAATACAAGTTGCTATGCCCATGAAACACAGCAATGGTGGTTTCACTTACTATTTTGATGTGGGCTGGGACTTCACCTTGGTTATTACAACTTTGGGTCCCGTTATCTCAATACAGGCTTCATAGATTATCAGGCAAACTAATTGGTCAAACAAGTGTCCTCGTTGCCAAGTAAATGTTGTATCGAGTCCGTCTTTGTTGTGCTTTAGTTCCAATTTCCAAAAGTTTTCTGGTATAAAATTCTCGACCCGCCGAAATTGATCAACAACGAATCCTAATGTAGGGAACTGACAAGGACCTTTTGCAACAGGATAGAGAAAAAGAGATCCCAGGCAATTGAGTCAGTTGAAAGTCTGAAGATGCAGCATACCAAGTTTTGCCTTTTTTTTTTTTTTTTTTTTTTTTTTCCAAAAAAAAAAAAGGTTGCAATAACTTTAAATCATCAAGAGTCCAACTCCCTCTGCCTTACCATAACTAATAACTCCTTCAAACAATGCCGGAAAGCTGTTTTGAAGATTCAATGTTTGGAATCTTGTGAATGATGCCCCGATACGAAGATCTAGCTCCATACGCGCATCCACAGCCTCCGCTTGACGCATATCCAGCATGACTGGGTTCCGCATTGCCCGATGCACCTCACTATCATTTTTTTATTTTTATTTTTATTTTTTTTTATTTTTATTTTTTTCGAAAAGGTGGTTTTAGGATGTTAGATGTGGCAAATCATGCAATCAAATGGTTCCATAATCCTTTGTCAGATCTGTAGTTGACTTACGCCGGAGTAACTGAACTGAATCGAGCTCGACAAATAGTGAGACGTTGATTTTGACGTCGACATACAGTCGCAATCTCTGCTCCAATATTTTCTCCTTCGCGATCGCAATCCGTCCATATCATGACCTGATCTGCTAAACGTGACTCCTGTCTAAGATTCTGCTCCACAGATGTCAAATCCTACAAGAAGCAATATAAGCCATGAGTAGTTTGGAAATTGAACAAAACAAAAACAAAAACAAAAACAAAAAATTGTTAAAGCACATTTACCTTTGATGTAGCTTTCTCAATTTCTAGTTCGAAAAGCTCCACTGGCGCACAACTATGCCATTTCCTGTATCTAGATGGGAAATCTGTACTAAACAAATGTCCTCGTACTGCCGTCATCACAACATGAGCCATAGTATTGTTTGGAAGCTTATAGGTGAATTCATGGTTCCGTGTATATTGATCATTTGTCGGTCTCTAAGAGCAAAAAAAAAAAAAAAAAAAAAAAAAAAAAAAAAATATTATATGACATCTGATGTTAAACATCATCAAAACATGTTGTTTCTCTTGCTCAAAAACAGGAAAAAAAAAAAAAAAAAAAAAAAAAAAAAGCGCTCACAACCTACTGAGCTAAACTGTCCGTTTGACAGTATTTGGGCAAGAGATTTCGACATTGCTGGCTTTTCTGCCACGCAAAGTATCCTCATGTTGACATTCAGTAATGTTTCTTTTTATTTTATTTTTTATTTTGGGTTATGGGATGGGAATGAATAAACAAAAACAAAAACAAAAAAAGAAAAAAAGAATAAAAAAAGGACCGAAAACTACAGTAAATAATTTATGAATGATTTCAATGTCAACATTTTAGTGGCGCAAAGGGGCAAAAATGGAGTGAATGTGGCTGCAGAGCCAGACCTTTCGAATTTAAAGAAACAAAATGAATGTTTATTGCAATCGTACAGGACAAACAAACTATGGTTTATTACTTAGAACTACAACTTGTCGATGGAAAACGAAGGGGGGAGAGACTTTAGACAAAGAGGGAAAAAAACGCAAGGTATGGAGAAGACAAGAAAAAGGATTAAAGAAACCACTGCCCTGTTTCCGTGCCTGATACGTGTGTGACTGTGGACAATCTTACCATTTCGGTAAGTGTAACCAGGAGTACCAGAGTATCGCCATTTAAAAATGTAGTCGTCATTTGTCTCGCTGGACAGTAGCACATTTGTTGATAAAAAGGAAAAAAAAAAAAAAAAAGACAGAACACCATCGAGGAACCAGAGAAAAATAAATTTGGAAAGTGCTTAATTCATCTTCAATCCTCACACTTCACATGCAAAAGGACGACCTGTAAAGCACACTTTTGACCACATATATGGAGATCAACTACACGAGTATAAAAATGCAAGAGGCACGGAAAGATCAAATCTTTATTTCCAGCGATATTGACAATAATGGTTTAGACTCCATTAAATCAAAAGAACAATTTAGCGGGTCTAATTTTTCAAGATTCATGGAAAAAAAGAAAAAAAAAAAAAAAAAGAAAAAGAGTAAGTTCCAAAGGAGTCATATGAAAATTAAGAACCATTGTAACTTGTTAAAATAATCTCCTGATAAAAGTTTACCTTGGTGAAACCGATGGCAGCAGCGTTCTCACGGAAGCACTGACGGCAGATGTTGAGACCGTACTTGCGGATCAAACCAGCGGGGTGAGTGCAGACGCGGCTGAATATGAATTAAAAAAGAAAGAATAGATGAGCTGTAAGTATAATGAATTGCAAAAAAAAAAAAAAAAAAAGTCCATGAGGATATCGGGGTGATTTATTCCTTGAAATGAAACCAAAACCCTCCAAGATGTAAGCGCGTGTTGAGATCAATTAGTAAGGTGTGAATAAGTATTATTTCTTTTTTTTTTTTTTTTTCCCGGTCCTGCGATAATCAGCGTCAGCAGTGTTCAGTGTGTAAATATCAGGATTCTTCCAGTGAACATTAACATGTCATCATTCCAGCAATTGTAAAGATGAGGTAAATAAAGCGTCTCAACAGATTAACATGATTGAGAATTGTAAAATTATAAATAGTCCGAATGATTAAACCGATTATCCAGTTCGAGTTGAATTGCATTATGCTGGCGGGTTTTTGTTTTCAATCCAAATGATTTTTTTTTTTTTCTAAAATTTCCGTCTTTCCTTTTGAAAGCTCATAATGTTGAAAGATCCTGATGCCCTGACTAGTAACTTTGTATCGCCTTACCACTCGCGGGAGCCCTTGCCATAGCCACGGGGGTGGGAGTTCCAGATGTTGCTGTGAGCCATTGTTGTGAATTCGACAATTGGATTTCAAAAAGAGCGAAAAAGGAGGATCTCTTGCTTTCTCGTCACAAACAAAAAACTAATACACATCCAAAAAAATTATCCATTCATCTGATTGGCCATCTTCGAGTCATGTGATTTATCCGCTTTTTACAACTTGTGACTGTTTATTTGTTTGATAAACAAAATTGAAAGCAAACAATCCAAAAAAAAAAAAGCACAGTGCAATAAAACAATAAAAGAGTCTCTTGGGCCTTTTTTTCTATTGGCATATTTTCTGCATCTCCTCATTCCACTCTTACTCTCATCCTTCAGCCATGGCTGGACGTCCTACATCAAAAAATGCTGCGCCCAAAGCTACCCAAAAGAATAATAAGCGAAAAGTGAGCTCCACCCAAGCTGCGTCCAAAAAGATTAAATTAACCCCTGGTGCTGATAAAGCCGCTGGTAAATCCACTGCTAAAGCCAAGAATGGCAAGACAGGAAAAGGTGCACCCAAGGCCAATAAAGAGGACAGTGATGAGGAGGACGATGAATCCTGGGCCTATGGTGCAGTGAGCGAGAGTGAAAGTGACGTTGGTGAACAGGTACGATCACTTTTTTTTTTATTTTTTTTATAGAATTTAATCATATATTCTTTTTTTCCTCAATTGCTTAATTTTTTCTCTCTTTCCTTCTTTCTTCTGTTGCCAATGTATATAGGGCGACGAATTTGTATCGGCTGATGAAGGTTCAGATATTGAAGTCGGGACATTGGATGACGATTTCCTCGGTGATGAGTTTGGAGATTCGGATGAAGAATCTAAAGGTCCTGGTTCCAAAATGTTCGGCTCAGATGAGGAAGAAGAAGGCGAAGACAATGAGGAAGATGAAGAGGACATATTCGCCAGTGACAGTGATGAATCCGCTGATGAGGATATGGAAACGAAGTCGCGTAAACTGGATGCTGCCAAGAAGGCTGAGGCGGAAGAAGCTGAGGCGGAACTTCAAACCAATATTGTGTACGAAGATGATAAATATGTCCTTCCTGCGGATGATCACGAGACCTTACAGAGTACTGATTTGCAAGTTGTTCAAGCTCGTATTCAGGAAATTGTACGAGTATTAAACAATTTCAGGGAGATGAGAGAAGGAAACAGGTAAGCAGCTGCAATATTGCCTTTATCATTATTCTTTATTTTTGGATTTTACAAAATTGTAGGGTATTCATGAATACGCTCTATATATATATGTATATGCGATATTAGATCTCGTAACGACTACATTTCTCAGCTACTCAAGGATCTTTGTCTGTATTATGGATATAATGAGTATTTAATGGAGAAACTGTTCTACATTTTCCCGGTTTCTGAGGCTATCGAGTTCTTTGAGGCTAATGAGGTTCCTAGACCCGTTACGATTCGTACAAATACGCTGAAAACCCGTCGCCGTGAACTTGCGCAGGCCCTCATCAATCGAGGAGTCAATCTGGATCCCATTGGAAAATGGAGTAAAGTCGGTCTTCAGGTCTTCGATTCACCCGTGCCAATTGGTGCTACTCCAGAGTATTTAGCAGGCCACTATATGCTTCAAGCTGCATCCTCTTTCCTACCCGTCATGGCTCTTGCTCCTCAAGAGCATGAGCGCATCTTGGATATGGCCTCTGCCCCAGGTGGAAAGAGTACTTATATTGGTAATTTTTTTTTTCTTCATTATTTTGAATCTATTATTTAATGTTTTCATCGCTCAGTAATTTAACTTTTTTTTTTTTTTTTTTTTTTTTTTTTTTTCAACTTGATCTCATATTACTTTAGCGGCTTTGCTCAAGAACACAGGAATGGTCTTTGCGAATGACGCAAATAAAGATCGTACGAAATCTTTGGTCGCCAATATCCATCGTCTCGGCGTCAAGAACGCTGTTGTTTGTAACTATGATGGTCGAGAGTTTCCTGGGGTGATCGGTGGTTTTGATCGTGTGTTGTTGGATGCACCATGCTCTGGAACAGGAGTCATTTCCAAGGATGCATCTGTGAAGACCAACAAATCAGAACAGGACTTCCAAATGCTATCCCAACTGCAGAAAGAACTTGTATTGAGTGCTATTGACTCGGTCGATGCCAACAGTAAAACTGGTGGCTATATTGTCTATTCCACTTGCTCCGTCACTGTGGATGAAAATGAGGATGTGGTCAATTATGCTCTTAGGAAACGTCCCAATGTCAAGTTGGTTTCCACAGGTTTGGATTTCGGGAAGGAGGGTTTTACACGTTATAGAGAAAAGGTCTTCCATCCTACCATCAGTCTCACAAGGCGTTACTATCCTCATATGCACAACATGGATGGATTCTTCGTTGCAAAGTTTAAGAAGATTAGCAACAAGATTCCTAAAAAGAATGATGACAGTGCTGATACAGTCGAAGATGAGGAGTTCACACCGATTACTGACGATTCTGGAAAGCGTTCTCGAGGAGGAAAGAAGGATACAGCAGCAAAGACAGAAGAGGTGGAGAAGATTAGCTTTAACCCCGAGGAAGATGATGAACTTATTAGAGGTAAATTTGCTATTTTACTGTTTGTCTGGCTGTTTAATTATAAAAAAGAAAAGAAGGAAACCGCTAATTTTATATTGATCTTTTTTTTTTTCTTTTTTTTTTTTTTTTTTTTTTTTTCAAATGTTATATATAGCATCGCAAGCCAAGCTATTGAAAACTCAGAAGGGTATCAAGCTTCGTCCAAAGAAATCTGCATAAATACATTATAGCATCAATAATTTTACTTGCACCATAGAATCAAAAAATACAAGAACCTCATTTAACAATTTACAAGTATGAAACATGGGATTTTATTTATTTAATGGTTCAAAACAAAAGCAATGGAGAGGAGAATGGAATTGTTGGGAGGAAAGCATATTTCAGTATATGTATATATTGGTTATCTCAGTTTTTTAAGCATGCTGCGCCCATTCAATCTTGGAAATGTCAATACCCTCCTGCACCATCTCCCAAAGTGGACTCATCTCACGCAACTTGTCAACATGGGCGACAACACGTGAAATGACGAAATCAATCTCCTCCTCCGTTGTGAAACGACCGATACCAAAACGAATCGAACTGTGTGCCATGTCATCTTCTGCGCCAAGGGCGCGGAGAACGTACGATGGCTCCAGAGATGCTGAAGTGCAAGCTGATCCGGATGAAAGAGCAATGTCTTTAAGTGCCATAAGAAGAGACTCTCCTTCTACATAGGCAAAAGAGAGATTCACACATCCAGGATATGATTGAACTTCGTCTCCATTTCTATAGACATGGCTGACTTGGGATGTGATACCCTTGATCAAGCGCTCTGATAGACGTTTGACACGCTCATGATCGTACTACATAGCGAGATAGAAGTCGGATGATTCCATTAATATCCATGCTGAAGAACATCATTAATTAATCGGACAAAAAATATTCACACCATCAGAACCCCTGCACATGCCATCATCGCACATGAACACCCTCTTAAAACCGCCTTGACAACCAAGACGTTTTTAAGGTATATTGGGCAAGATCAAGGCTAGGTGGTTATAGCAATGTCCGGGATGAATGGACAATCGTCACATGGTTACAATATCGTTAATAACAAGCCATATATTTTGCTCACTTACAGTCATTTCCTCTGCAGCGATTCTACATGCCTCTCCAAGTCCTACTACCAATGGTGCCGCAACGGTGCCGCTACGAAGACCACGCTCCTGTCCTCCACCAGTCATCAATGGAAGAAGACGGACTCTGGGTCGGCGACGGACATACAAGGCACCGACACCCTTAGGTCCATAGATCTTATGACCACTAATACTGAGGAGATCGATGTTCATCTTATTGACATCAATGGGAATCTTGCCAATCGCTTGCGCAGCATCCGTATGGAAAAAAATCTTTTTCGACCGGCAGAAAGCACCAATCTCTTCCAATGGTTGAATGACTCCAATTTCATTGTTGACAGCCATGACTGACACCAAAGCAGTGTCAGGGCGAACAGCAGCCTTAAGATCATCCATGGAAATCAAACCATTCTTTCCAACGGGCAAATAGGTAACATCAAAGCCCTCGTCACTCAATACACGGCATGAATCCAGAACACATTTGTGTTCCTATAAAAAAGGTCGAATTTAACAAAATATAACAACAACAATAACCGTAAGAAAGCAATATAAAAAAAAAAGCCTGGGAACCTTGGTTACCCAGTAAAAATATAAAATATAAAATATAAAACTGAAGGTGGTTTACCGTTTGTGTTGTGATAATATGGTTTTTTTTGCCCTTATAGAAACGAGCGACACCTTTGATGCTCAGATTGTTGGACTCGGTAGCTCCTGATGTGAACACAATCTCCTTGGAATCTGCTCCAATCAACTTTGCAATATCCTAAAGAAAGACACAAAAGTATAATGCATTAGGAAATGATGAACAAAAAAGCATTGCGTTACACCACGAAACTCGACTGGGTGTGGTCCACCCCTGCGCCTATATCACTGTTCTGTATCGTTTGTATTAGGTGACAGTTGGTATTGAGAGGGGAAATAAAAAAAAAAAAAAAAAAAAAAAAAAGAAAGAAATATCATTACCTCTCGAGCTTTATCAACGCCCTTTTCTGTCTCCCAGCCGTACGAGTGAGTTCTGGAATGAGGGTTTCCGTAAAGTTCGGTCATATACGGCAGCATAGCATCCAGTACACGAGGATCTGTGGGTGAAGTAGCCTGCATGTCCATATAAATAGGACGAGTGTTGCCTGCATCCTTGATTCCGGTAACTTCAAACCCGAGAGATTCTAATTTTTATAATATTCAATTTGTGAAAAACGAGAGTAAAACCGGACCAGTCAGAGAGGATTCAGGTGCTTACAAATATGCTGTGGTATGCTGTGCAGTATGCTGTAGTATGAAACTATGCAATGCCATGAGGCAAGCAAGTCAAATAGTATTTCGCATAACATGAATGTATTTCATAACCGAACTTTACTGTCCATCCTCTGTAAAGATCACAAACGCTCAAAAAAAAGGGCATCAAACGGATCTGAAATGAATTGTGTTAAAGAGACTGAGAATCAGAAAAAGTGCGTGGGTGCATTGCTTACCAGTGGATGGGGTGATCAAGACCTGGGTCTCAGTAGCTTGTAGACGTTTTGCGGTCGTGTGAAAGGCTGTAGCAGCAGGTGAGAGAATAAAGCGTGGAGTAATCGAGGGAGAAGGACGAGCGCTGCGCAACATGCGAGCAGGTCCCTGGATAAGGCGTGCAAAAGACATACTGTTTATGATGTATGTGCTATGCTTAGGCTGTGAAGGAGAAAGTGTCTATCACTCAACAATAAAGGTGAAATACCTCAAAGAAATATAAGTGAAAGAGAAAGAAAGAGAAAAAGAAGAAATAGTTGTCTTCTATTAATAATTGATGAACTGTCGAATTGAAGTGAACGAGTCGAGAGTGGAGAGAAAAGTGTGAGTTGTATTGCATTTTTTTCTTTTTTTGTTTGTCCAAAAAGGAAAATTGTTAAAGTGGCTGCTTTGGTTTATTAAACCACGTGCATAACCACCATTGTCATTTTGTCATTTACATGTCGTCTGAGTATGCAACTCTTTTACTGATCCATAAAAAAATTCCTTCGTATGGCTGCTTCCAGGCCTCAGGAAGGCCCATCTGCCTCTGCTCCCAGTTCCAGCACCTCAAACACCAGGAGTATACGGAGGCGTCCTAGCAATCGACAAGCTGCATTCTCATTTCTATCATCCATTCAACTTGACTCTTCTACTCAATCTCCTACCAAACATTCAGCAGGGATTACAGAAGATGAGGACGAACACGAATACGAGCATGAGAATAGACAGCAAGCAACAATGTCTAATGAAATGCCATCAACGCCTACACTGCCTGTAGTCACTACCCACAGTAATAACAACTACGCAGCCAGCAAGCTTCGTAGCGATAGAGATCTTCAGGACACAATCATATGTTCGTCACCTATCACATCAGTCCCATCTACACCAACGGACATACGTCTTCCCAATGCAGACAATAGACGCAGCTATGTTGGTAAAAAAGAGGAGGCTGCCACTAATTTTCTTTCCACGATCAGCCTGCGTGGAGAAACATCCGACGATGTGGATAACCTAAGTACGCGTGCATCCAGACCACCTCTCCCTCCAGGACAGGATTCTGGCTATCCTATCGCAGTCAACAGACCTACTGCACCTATGGCCCCCTCTCAGGGTGATCTTATCCCTCACTCCCCTGTCCAGCGCTCGTCTTCGACACCTTCTCTTGCCTCCAGTTGGGCCAGAAACACGAGCGACTCTATGTCAGAAACAGCGGAGCCTCTGCCTTCAGGGAGACATCGAAAGACCACCAATCTTGGCGCACACGCTGGCAGAGATGCGCAACCAACCCATCGTCGGTCCGTTCCCAACCCGAGACATCAATCTACACATGACGTGGATTCCTCATCTGGATTGCTTTCAACCTTATTAGCGCGCGAAAGCAACGCAGAGCCACAAAGTTCTTCCTTTGATCTTGGGAATACATCTACTCACAGATATATGTTGCAAAAGGCCTCTAGTAGATGGCTTGGGCCTCTGACTGACCATGTATACATCAAACCCCTCATTGCCTCTGGAACAGCCCACATTGTGAAGAAAATCTTCAGGAGACCCTCACTCAGTATACCTAGGCATCATAGTTATTCGCAATCATCAAGCCATCAGGCTGTAGGAACGTCTAGACACTCGCTATATAGAACAAATTCAGGAAGCACCACCCAATTGAAACAGCCTCTGGACACTCAACGACACATTTTTTATAGTGGTGAAGATCTCGCCAACAGTTGTGTCAGCCTCGGCGAGAATCTGAACCAACACGCATACATGTTAACTACAAAGAATGGTAGTCCATTCGCTGTCTCTTCTATCTTGCGCTACAACGACGATAAAGTGCCCAATAAACGGAGGCGGAGACGGTTTGATCGCGAATATTTACAACAAATCACAAAGGAAGCTCTTGTCCGGAAGAAAGCAAATTCATTTGCACACCTTTTAACACAAAGCAATGCATTAAGGTAATGCAATGAATAAGACCAAGCTAAAATGGCTCATGAGACTTAAAATCCAGTGCAATTTGTGGAGGCCTAATTTATCCAGCTCTATGATGTATCCGTAATAGCCCCGAACAAGAGGAGGATTCAGCTTCATATGACCCCTATTATCTTGATGATCCAGAACTGAAGACAGGGAAAAACCGAACGGTTATTTCACTGGCCTGCTATATGGTGCGTCCTCCAACTTTTTGTTTTTGTCGTTCTCTATTCCCTCCCTCGACCATACAAGCCCATAGTTGTATATCTTTTATTGATCTATGTCGTTAACCTGTTTCCAAAAATATTCTAGGGCTCCGTTATTCAATATACCCGACCATCTGATCTGAAGCGAGAGCTCAATGAGCACTTCCGGTCACGGCATCCTACGATCGACCCATCCATCACGTTATCTAAGATTCGTAAAGTCAAAACAGACCTCCTCGCAATATCAGAAGAACTCGACTTGGAAATCTCGACCGCTGCATTGGCATATGCTTATTTCGAAAAATTAATTATGAAAGGTTCTTGGAATGGTAAAGACTCTACGGGAATCTCGACAGAATCAAATCATTCTCCAGTAACGAAAGTGAACCGCAAGTTGATGGCCTGTAAGTGGATTTGAGTCGTTGCTTCCAACTTTTCATGTAATTAGGTCATGTAGATTAAATGGACTGACTTGTAAAACAATCTTTATTCCATTCTATTCCCATGTGCTTTCTATGTCTTGTAGGTGTGTGTCTATTACTGGCTTATAAAGTAAATGAACCCAAGCGGCCACCAGGGGAATTCACGGCGCTAATGAAACAAATGACAAAGCATATGTATGTCAGTGCCAAAGATATCAAGGAACATGAATTTCAAGTCTTTTCGTTACTCGAGTTCAATTTGTACTTGCCCAGGCAAGAATTTTTACCACATTTTGAGCAGATTCTCTATCGACAAGGTAAATGATATGGGAATGTGGGCACAGCAAATGCTCTGAATTTCGGATTGAGAGCTAAAACTCTTTGCTACTCTACTCTGACTGAATCTAGATTACCTCAATGTCCAAGAATATTTGGGGGAAGATGAATTTTACTCTGTACCTTCTCATCAACACAAAGCACCAGAATAGTATTTTTTTTTTTTTTTTTTTTTTTTTTTTAATCCAATTTGCCATTCACATCATCAACAACTTGCAATAGCAAAAAATAATCCTATTGTCATTGATGCTATATTATTTATTAGTGGTACATATTATTTTAAAACCCATCGGAATCATCGTCGTCGTCGTCCAAATTCGATGTCTTTCCTGCGTCTTCTTGATCCTTCTCTTCCATATTCAATGATCCCTCTGCCTGATCTTCGCCTGCCTCAGGATTATCGTCTTCATCTTCGTCATCTTCATCATCCTCACCCTCGCCTCCTTCTGCTTCATCAACTTCATTATCGTCTTTATCATCATCACCTTCAGCTTCACCATCGGCCTCTGCATCCTGATCATCTCCCATGTCTTCCTCATTTCCTTCTACGCTTTCAGATAAAACATCTTGCCCACCTCTTGGATTATCGTTTGTTGAAGATTTCCTGGCTTTTACTGCTACGCTGGATTTTTCTTCAGTTGATTTTCTCTTTTTTGATGTTAATGATTCCTCTTTATCCTTGGCAGCAGCAGCCTTTGCACCATTCTTTCTGGATCGTTGAATTGATTGATATGCTATAATAATAAGAATTGCATAGATCAAATGAGTGAGTCCTGATTTAAAACAAAGCTATTCTTTTTTTTTTTTTTTTTTTTTTTTTTTTTTTCTATGAACCAAATGAGGAAAAAAAAAAAAATGCTTTCAATCGTTTACCTTTAAATTCTTCCTCTAATCGGGGTAACATGTCCTCAAGATCAAGTGGTTCGAGGGCTCTTAAAACGTGTGCTGCGCTTATAATTTTATGACCTGCCCGAAGAGCTTCCTCATTTGCGCTAATGAAGGGCGTGATAAGAAATATATATAAAAAATAAAAGGAGCATAAGTTGAGGGACGTCCTTGAACAGCCCAGTGTTATAGAATCAAAATAAAAAAGAACGATCATTACGCAGATGCTAGGTAGTTGATGAACATTGTTGTAGACTTTGCCATGGCTAATTTGGCATTTGACTGGATGTTTGTGCCTTCAGGAAGCTTTTCAATAAATATAATAAAAAAAAAAATAAAAAAAAAAAAACATAAGCTGAGAATATTATTGATAATGACAAAGACAAAAAAGGCCAATATGACTCCAAATGCAACAAGGAGAGTTCATACCACTTGCTTCATAATGCGAGTCAGGATTGCCCTGGGCAGTTCATTATCCTCAATTGAAGTCGACATGGCAAAGTTAGAAGAAAGAGAGATGGAGCTTCTCTCTTTCAATGCTTCGCGACCTTGAAACCTTAGCTTTTGTGACTGTGGATCGAATTCATTTATATTTTTAATAAACAACAGAGGCGCGCGCGCGAACTCTTTGTCAAAAAGCTGCTTTGCCATCACATACATCGCGCGCCTACCTTCCTACCTTCAGAGTAGAGCATCAGGATTCAGGAATTTACAACAGACAAAATACAGTTGGAGAGCAACTAAAAAAGACTTATTTTTTCTTTTTTTTTAAAAAAAAAAAAAATCATAAAATTGAAAAATGTCAACAGAAGACGACTTTCTTTTCGACAATCTTGACTTCAGAGTACCTCCGGCAAGGGACATTGGCCCTGAACGTGAACGGATTATCGTGGACCCTTCAAAATATGTCGAGCATTTAACACAGGCTTGGATTAATGAGCGCGCTGCGCCAGATGTACTCCAATACGAGCAAGCAACTGTGGACGGTCTACTGGCAAAGATCGAGGAACAGGTCCGTAAATGCATGTCACCTTGTGTTTTTTTCCCCCTCTTCCCTTCCCTTTCCCCCAGGCCCTAATTGTGTAACAGTACAAGTTAAGGGAACTATCTGCCCTTTTTTTTTTTTTTTTTTTTGGTGAAACACTATACCTAGACTGCAGCCATTGATGATCTGGACTCAGGAAAGGATGCTGCGATGATCATCTCTATATTATATCAGACGGAGCTGGAGAGAGTGAAATTCGTTCTGCGGAGTTATTTGCGGACTAGGATATCGAAGGTACTAAAAGAAAGCCTTACAAGTCCGTGAAATGAAGTGACAGCGCTCTTCATCTTGTTTGATTCTAAACACTCATTACTTTTTTTTTTTTTTCTTTTTTGAAAACTTTTGTATGCGGATGAATACCCAAGATCGAAAGGTTTTGTGAATATATTTTGTCTGATCCATCCTCAAAAGAACGACTCTCGAGAGCAGAAGTCATATATGCTGAAAAGTGAGCTACATGTGTTTATTCAAAATGGAAGCTGGGAAGGGCTCAGATGGACTAAATACTGAACTAGGACTCACCTGAACCAAATGCCATAACAAAATATATATATATATATTCAGCTACTCTCGAGTAACAAGACAACACTATCATTCCAGCTTCTTATCTTCATTACCGCCATCACTTCAACACCAGGATGATACAGTGTTTGACAGAGGACTAAGCATGAGTATGCAAGTACCTCCTTTGTTTCTGCAAATAATCAGTGATGGACTAGAAATATTCATAATGATGCCTATATCTTCAGTTTCACAACCTAGGCTTGATGAAGCAGTGTTTTGTCGAATAATGGAGGACATAGGCGATTTCCAACTCGAAGAGTAAGTAATATATCAAAGGCGGATTTATTTATTTCCTCTTTTATGGTCCTGCTTTTTATCTTCTTTTTTTTTATCTAATTACGATTACTATATCTTAGTGATGAGACGGTTGAACTGGAAACAGGACAGATCTACATCTTCCGCTATCGAACAGTTCGTGTATTACTTCAAAGAGGTCAAATCGAACTTATTTGATTCCAATCTTGACTATATGTCATAAATCGATTTTTTTTTTTTTTTTTTTTTTCCGCTTTATCCTCTCTCTGGATTGTTTTCCTTGGTATCCTGATAGCTCTTTGCCAATGAGTCCACAGAGATCTTGAGCATTTTCTGGCATATTTTCTATTGACTTTCACTCCAAAAGCAGTCGGGTAATATATTCAACAACTGCAGGCGAAAAACGTTTCATCGCTGGATATCGGATACTTGGAGTGAAAAGCACCTAAATGATAATAAACAGAAGCAAAGAGCTCGAGTATAACATCTTTCTTGCAACACACAGTTCAATTAGCAACTGCAGCTCAGTGTACAGTAGATGTACGTGTTTTGTTATGGCTCTGCTTTGGCTGCTGCACACACTTCTTCCAGCCTTCCGTACTGGTATCCTTCTTTATGCTCGAAGTAGATATATGTACTCTCTCCGTTGATTCCACGAGCCATTAGTCCTGATGTAGAGTAGCTTTTTCGGCCTCAATTGACGAGCAAGGTGCGCTCCAGCCCTTATAGAAACTACCTTAGATCAACCCCGCTCTTGGTAACGGAATATCTTTCCTTCTATTTCTCGAAGCCCTCTGATCCGATGTGATAGAAGCCTCGAACTCTTTGGATGCTCTCCTTGATGATTTCACTTCATTGTCTTTCATTACACAACTCGATGGTCTTAATCGAACGAAAATAAATTATCGCCATATTGAAAAGAATGAACTTTCAAAAAATGCTGATATGCTAGGTTCTCTGCCAAGAGAGGAAGAGTCGATATCGAAGGCTCGAAAAGCAACGTCACAATGGCTCTTTATCTGCTACAAGCTAGTTATTATAAAAATCGGGTGAATCCCTTAAATACACTTGCACTATTTCATCTCCAAAGCTGCGTCTCGAATTGACGATCAATAGTATCATGCTCCACGCCTATCTTCTCTTCAGCAGCGTCCCTCTCTCCCTCGCCCGCCCCCTACGCTCCCGTCCATCAAAATGAAATGCCTAAATATCTCCACACTCGCTTTTACTCGAAAGCTTCAAACACAGCCCCCTTCCTATTAATTCTACCTTGCTGTAGGCCAGCAATTGTCATTTTAGCGTTGGCTTGATGGGACTATTTACCGAATTTACAAGCATGGAAATCCTTCCTTGAACCCAACAAAGTGACGATGATATTGAAAACTTCTTTTAAAGAAGTGGATCGCCTACAAATCTGAAAACGTCAAATCTTAAAAAAACTAGCAAAATATATTCTTTTATGTGTGTGTCATCTAGTTATACTATTAAAAAAAAAGTAAAAAAAAGTCGCCAAGTCATATAAATTGAGGTTCCTCCCCTCTTCCTCCTTCCTCCTTCCTCCTTCTGTTCTCTTTTCCCTCATAAATCTAAGGAAGTACCACCATGCCTGTTCCAGTGCCACCAATCTGTGAGATATCGCACACAGTGCACAAGTTGCCTTGGAATTCGGGCTTGAAATGCGCTCGGCAATAAGGGCACTGTACGCTGGGCGAGCCACGGTAGATGGGCGTGTATGAGATACCACATACCACAAACGAGTTGTACTTGATCGAGAGAGGAAAGGAAGGAAAAAAAAAAAAAAAAAAAAAAAAAAAAGGTAATGCAAACATTAGACCTAATAAAATAATAAACTTTCATTTTTCTCCAAGTCACTCCATCGCTCTTTCAATTACCTGATCATAATCCAACTGGATCTCGTCACGAGGGTTACGTTCCGCAACTTGCTGGATTTGTCGTGCAAGTGTTGCTGCCTGCCCTGGAGGAGCCAGCTCCAACAGCCGACGTGCAAACGTCTGTGCAGATTGTAAATTCTTATGCTTGTAACATGCTGTCATCGCTGTACGCAAACTGATAATCATATGCTTTGGCTGCAGCTGAACCGCTGTAAAGTATGCTGCTAGCTCCAGCATTCTCTTAACCCCTGCTGCCGACACGTCATTCTGTACTTCACGACGGCTCAGTTCAATACTCAGTCCAAGAATGTATTCGCGACAGACTCCCACAAGCTGTAATACCTAAATTTAAAAAAAAAAAAAAAATCCAGAATTCAATATTTCATGATATTTGCCTGTAAGTCACCATAATACAAGTTTACAAAACATAAAACAAACCCCTGCCGCCTATTCTGAGCATGTTCACATACCTCTTCAGCCTCTGACGCTTGGGTAACTACTGTCAACAGTAGAGTGTGTAGAATACTCCTGAACAACGTGCATGCCTCTGTGATCTTATTCGACGTTGTCAACTTGTATGCATCCTGCAACTCCTTGGAGATCAATGACTGGAAGTTCTTGACAAGCACAGGCAATGCTTTCCTTGGATCATTTTCTGTGGGATTGCGTCGAACTGGCAGTGTAATCGCTGGCATGCCTTCAATACCAGTAATAATCGCACGGCTGGCCTGGAAAATCGACAAAAAGTGGTCCTTGAGCGGCTCAAAGTTGACTGCACCTACTTGTCGATTCAAAAGCTACACCAATGGAATTCATATAATAATAATAACAGTCCTCTATTAGCGAACACTTTCACTTGCAAACACCTTAACATCTTCTTCCCTTCTTCTTCTTCCATCTTCACCCGCTTACCTGCATCGCAGACTCAAATGCTCCTGCTGCTACATGATCCGCTGCCAATGGAGAGTTCTGGCACCAAATTTCTCCCTCGCTTTGTCCAGCAACAGGGATCGTCAGTCCACTGTCCTCAGAAACAATGGCTCCAGTCTCTGCATGCAGTTCTGCCGCAAGGTCTGCATCTAAATCCCATCCACCATCACCATCGGCATCGAATCCATCATTTCCAATCGGTGCCAGAGATGCTCCCTTCTGCTCCACTGGTTGAATGCTAAATTCATCATCCATGCCCCATTGGTCTATCTGAGGCTCTGGCTCCGAAGCTACAAATAGTGCCTGTGGTGCAACGCCTTCCATATCTCCTGTGAAAACACTCTCAAAGTAGCTGCGTGACACTGAAAGCTGTGGCCAGTTCAAATCGTGTATACGCATCAGTGGTCGAGGTGGAACCAGCAGTGTTCCTTGACTTGGAAAATCTGCAACATCTTCTGCTGTCAATCCAGAACTTTCTAGAATCTCATCAGCAACATCATTCATGCCATGTGTCTTGGCAGTCAAATATGCCAGTGGAGCTAGAATTATAATGAAAATAAATAGTGGGCGTTAACAAATAAATAAGTAAATAAAAATAAAAAATAACAATAAGCCATTCGAATGAATTACACTTCAAAACCATCCCTTTCTCTTTTTTTTTACCTTGTCCAACCTCGCGCAGCAAGCGCACACGCTCCTCGACATTGCCTAGGAACAGCGAATTGTGGAATCGTGACATGGCATCTCCACGAAGTTCCGCGATCTGGAGCATTCGAGACAACTTGTCTGTATTTCCAGTGACCAGATACAGAAATGAAAGTCTGTCAAAGTTTTTGACGCGCTGATAGCACATCTCTACGATCTGATGGTTGCCCTGTCGAAGCGCTTCCTGCGCCAACTTGTTCCAGCTCTCTTCTTTGTTGATCGTCTTGGCTGTCTCCAGTCCTACTTCCAGATTCCCGCACTCAAGCGCCAGTTCGAACCGCGTCTTGTCATCACGTACAAAATGGAGTGCAATCTCGGGGTATCCCTTCTTTTGTAAATATGCAATGATGGATTGCCCCACCAAGTTGGAGTTGCGGATAATTTGAAGGACCTCATCATAGTTGCGCTTCGTTAGTGCTTGCTTGAATCGATACTCAGTCGGATCAATGGGGATCGTACATGTCTTACCATCTCGATCCAAGCAGTAAACGTTCTTGCCTTTGACCCGTGTAAGGTAGATGGGTTGATCCAATGTGCGAATGATTCCATTGTCACTGTGTAACAAATAGAAAATATGAAAAATATGAAAAATAAAAATAGTTAATATCACCTCACTGGCTTATATAGCTATCCAATACATCTCCTGCTATCTTTATAAAATATATATAAGTATTTCATTCTTACCCTTGAGGAAGCGCGTATTTAATGTGGTTTAACGTCGAGTAGATCAAGATGCCGCTGTCATCCCATGCGGCGCTCTTGATCCTGATCGTCTCGTGAATCAAGCATGTTTGCTCCAACGACTTGGTTGCAACCGTGATCGTGTGCTTGCTCAGCAGAGCCACATACGCCATGTCTGCCGACCATACCACATACTTGACAGGAGGTGTCGTCACCTCTGAGATTGTCCTACGCTGCTGAATATCGTACAGAATCACTGATGTGGGTGTGCTCAGTAACAATTGGCCTGTGCCTGCATAAAAGATCTCGTTCACCACATTAGGCATCTTGAATGACTTTGTGCTATTGTTCTGCAAATCACGGATCGTGATCATCTGTGTCGTCTTCTCAAGTACTGCGAATCGGTTGCGTGCAATAAAGATTGCCGAGCTTCCTGATCCTCGCTTGCCCTCACCGGACGGCTCACGCGTATCCCCACCATAGTCCTTCGGCAAGTTATACAGTTCATATGTACCTCCATCTGCAGTGGATGTGATCAGCACAGCTCGCTCCGCAGGATTGTACGACAGTGCTCTCGGCTGAACAAATTGCGATCCAGCGCGACGCACCGACAACACTGCTGTGTCCTGGGAGGTGCCATAGTCATAGACACGTAAATATTTGTCCTTGATGTAGAACAAGTTTGTTTGGTGCATAGCATAAGCAGGTCGCTCTCTCTCCAGTTTGAACACTATCAAGCCGCTGTCATGGCCTGTGGATTGATTTATAGGTATGTCATACAAAAAGAGAGAAAGAGAGAAAAAAAAAATAAAAAATAAAAAAAAAACTGCGAGTCAGCAATATTATTCTTATCCGCCGGCCCCTAATGGGACTACCGTATAGCATCACAAATATCGCCAAACATCTTACCGGCTGCAAACAAGTTGAGTTCAGGATGTGCCGTCAATGCCCAGAAGCGGTCGTGCTCTCGACGAAATGTCTGCACAGCAGTGCGCTTTGACATGTCCCATACACGGATGGATTTGTCCTCTGCCACGGAAATGATGAGCTCTTGGCGCTGATGGAAAATGGTGCATGAAACATTGTTGGTGTGTCCTCTACAAGTGTCGACCTCCCAAGCCTTGGTTTCTGAGATGTAAATATATATATGTATGCAATAAAAAAAAAAAAAAAAAAAAAAAAAATTAAAAAAAAAGAATTTGCGATTAGTTAGGAGATTCAATAAAAAGTGACAATCCTGATGCCAAAGAAAGAAAGAAAGATATAAAAAAAATAATAATAATAATAATAATAATACCGTTCATTCTCCAAAGTTTAACTTGGCGATCATCACCAGCAGAGACAATCAGAGGCAAAGTTGGGTGGAATGTTGCCCAATTGACACTGCGATCGTGACCTTCAAGAACATATTTTACAACCGCATCAGTGCTTCCAAAAATATCAGCCTGCTGTGATGCTCGGTGCGCACTCTCATCATATGCAACAGTTCCAGGAGCGGCATTCTTTTTTCTGAGGCCTAATAAAAAAAAAAAAATAAAAAAAAAAAAAATAAAAATGTATAGAGCGAATGAAAATGTATGGTGTAAATATAAGAGTGAATAATGATCATTAAGAAAACATCCACGCACATAAACACACAAAGCGAAAGAGAACAACTTGCCTGAAATGTCCCAAACACGAACTGTCTGATCCAGAGATGCAGAGACAATCAGATCCTCTTTAGGGTGGAACTGTGCACTCATAACATAGTGGTTATGGCCTGTCAGGATGGCGATACAGTTACGGGATTGCCAATTCCAGATGCGAATCGTCTGATCATCCGAGCAACTGAGGATCCAAGGATATTCGTGATGGAAGTATACTGTGCGTACATAGTCCAGATGACCCGTGAGTGTGAACTGGCACCGTCGCGTCTTATAATTCCAGACCTTGATCTTGTAGTCATCTCCAGCAGATACAAACAAAGGTTGAGAAGGGTGAAATGAAATTCCACGGACAGGGCCTTTTTTTTTTTTTTTTTTTTTTTTGTTTTCATAGAAGTGTTATATGGCAGCAGAATAATATAATAAAGAATACAACATGAGGTAAATAAAAAATTACATAAAAAGACTCTCCACAATCCCATGTACTCTTCGTTGCTGCCTGTTTGTCTATTTATCCATTATCCGATGATCTGGGCTGTCTGTTCTACTCTGATCCTTAATGTCTGTATTGTCTGTGTCTGTCAATGGGCCTATCCTTCCATCTTACCATCATGCTCATCAAATCGCTCAAGAAGGGTGCCCATCCTATAGTCCCAAAGTTGGATTGAACCGTTATGTAAGGCTGCAAGAATCCATGGTCGTTTTGGATGAAAGGCAATCCCTTTGACACGGTTGCTTTTCGACTCGAACTATATAATAATAATGACAGTATCAATAATAGAGTGATAGACTTGTCAATTACACTGCATAAAGTCATTGTTAACAAGAAAAGAAAAAAAAAAAAAAAAAAAGGTGTATAGAAGTGGTAGGATGTATAATATATACATCATAAGCGCGTTCGATACCTTTGTGAGCATCTGCATCTTTGACAGCTGTGATTGTGAGAAGAAAAGAAAAAGAAAATTAAACCGATGATGAAGAACGATCGATAGTAACCCGGTGGATGCAGTGCCTAGTCAATCAGCTCAGTTCAATCCAGTCCAGAGCGTAAAAAGGAGAAAGGAAAGAAGGGCTTGATGAAGAAGGGAGCTTTAAGTGATGGGTGCTGTTGTACAATTAGCAGGTCAAAAAAAAAAAAAAAAAAAAAAAAGAGACGCGAGATGCAATCGATGCAAAAACCATCATTTTTTCCTTCCTGTCTGGTCGGTCTGCTCAAACAGGAATTTTGTGACGCGTTCATGTTTTTAGTGTTAGTTACGAATTACAGAGGTCCTAAAATAACTTTATTCATATACCGATATCATTCCCTTTCTCCAAACGCGCGAATTGAAAAAGCCGAGACTTGTCGATTAATTATTAGGCACGACTTGCATTGGGGGATCAGTTTTGTTAGTCGGCAACCATACAAACATCTAAACAGATCGCCAGGAAGGAACTCCAGTACGACTCGGAACAGAGAAGCTTTTATCCACACCTGTTTGTTAAGCAGTTCCACTTTGAAATATTTGAATCCAGAGGTCAGGAGAACTGACATTTTGTACTATTTAGTATCGTACCTGAGAATGTGGTTTACACACATTCCACTGCAATGTATTGTTTATTTGGCATGTCTTCCTACGCTCGCTACTGCTGTTCCATCAACATTGCTTGTCCACTCTATCAGACGGGCATGATTGCTCGTCCTCTTACTTGGTGCCTTTCACATTACCAAAAAAAACCAACGGCTCCTTCAGAAAGGATATCCCGCATATTACTCCCATCAATAATCATAAGAACACAAAAACATTCCCTTCCATGCTCCTCAAGGTCTTTGCTTCGTCAAGGACCACAAAAAACTTATTCATCCTATAGCCGAGAAGCTTGTTCGTCAGAGAATCAGAGGTGAACGAGGAGATCAAGCCTCGAATCTGTTGAAATCGATCCTGTAAAAGAGTTTCAAGCTCCAAAAATGAATAACCGGCATTTGATTCTCTTCGATTCTTTTCAGCAAAGCATTGACTGCAATGAATACAAGAGACAAGACACAAATCCGAACCTAAAACTGGATTGTAGCCTTGAAAGTTGAAAGTATTAATGGTATCCACTTACATGCTTCTCGTACCAACTAACCCTGATTTAAACGGCAAATCCGCATGGATCTTCAGCACAAATAAAAGGCAATTTCGAAGCTAAAATCGAACCATCAATCCATCAAGAGTTTACCACGTAATGGATATACGAGCGATTGCTCCTTTAATGCTATTTCTTATTTGACGTGGATGAATCTATGAGGCCAAAGCATGGGATTAAAGTGAACTATCACCCGAAACAAAAAAAAAAAAAAAAAAAAAAAAAAAAAAAGGTTTGATTAAGAAATAGGTTCAATCCATAACCATCAATGTAGAAGACATATCTTGCAGGAGTGGTTGAACAGTAATATGGATGGTTTTACTGGAGATAGTTCTGAATACTCTAGATATTTCTACGGTTGGGTTGAGTTCCCTAGATTTGCTTTTTTGTTGCTTGTCATCAGTTCCGTTCCTTTTCTCTTCGTCGGTCAGTTTGTTGAGGCAAACGAGCTTTGTTGGCAAAGAGACAACATTGACAGACCAAAGGGTGAGATCCTTTACCGTGCCGCGGCTAGCGCGGACCTCCGTACAGATGGATTTTCTGGACTAACCAATATTTTCATTCTCGCCAATTTCGACTTTGAAGGTCATGGGAGTAGGCTTCTCCTCTACAAGGCAGTGGAGTTAGAGCTTGCTGTCGAACCTTGTATTTTGAGTGTTGGATGAGTGAATGTGATTAGAAGACAAGAAAGAGCATTAGAGTTGGTGGCAAACTGTGACGATTTTTTTTTAATAGACATCAAAGGATGGTGTGGTGACATGATTGCAAATTTCCTTATCACACAACCATAGAAATATTGAGAATAGCACAAGAAAATGAAAGTGGAAAATGGATATTTCTTACAGCCTTTTGGACAGTGTAGGAATAAGGCTTTGTATTGAAGGAAGAAATATGTACTTAATGGGATCACCAGTTCTAAAACTGATGAATACAAATATAGTATTGAAGGAAAGAAGTAAAATAAAGCAACAGTTCATATGCTATGAGATGGGTACGGGATTGGGAGTTGTGTGCAAATATTCCGCATGTTTGACGATAGCGGTTCCCATTGCTCATCCAGGCTTGATTTGAGAGCAGTGGATGCTCTACATTTGAGATCAAATGGAGAGTCATAACCACAGGCAAAGAGGATGTCTTTTGCATACTACTTTAGTTTGGTATACTTTGATTGGTGTAGTCTGTGTAGTATGGCGCCAGTGTCCCTCCTTTCTTGATCTTTCCCGAGAGGATACGAGTCGCTCTGCTTTGTCATCTTCAACTCTGGGTCGTTCTTCAAGGCTTGCAGATTCTGAAAGACCTTCATCTCTTTTGGGTTACTGTAGGTCTTCACCCATTCAGGCGTAAGGATAGATGGGTCCTCAATGCCGTAGGCGTCCATAATCCTGAATTTTTGTACTGCGTAATACTCTTCAGTAGAAAGGTCTGACCTTGTCTCCAGTCGTAGTAATTCTTCGTAATCAATTACCTTGGCCTCCGATATCCCTGTATACTTGGCTTGAAGTAGGGCGGCTGTCCTCTGTTTCAGAAATTCAGAAACCTTAAGGTCCTTGGGCTGATTAGGTAGTCCAACAACTCTGCAGCCAGCCTGAACCATTTGAGCAATGAAACGCTGAAGAAAATCATTCATTGATAGATGCTTCTTTATCAGTGGATTGATGAATATTGTGTAGTAAATATCGTCAACATCCCTTCAATGATCATTTCAGTCCTCCTGGGGAGCAGAGGAATGAGCAAGTAGAGTGTGAACAAACGTTTATCTGAGCACTAAAGATTGTCATGTCACAATGACCAAGAAAATGGCACGTGGCTGATTTGAAAAAAAAAAAATTTCTCACGCAAAGCCTAACCTTGAAATAAAGGAACAAATTTATCAGTTGTCGCTCCTTTCTTTCCTTTGCTCCACTTCATTTTCGCCACCACTTTTTTCATATTTCACCACTTACCTCTTTTATCCATTCCAAGCCTTCATTTATTGCCTTTCTTTTCCTTTCCTTCTTTTTTTTTTTTTGCCTTACACATTTTTCATTATTGTTTCCATACCGTGACCACGGGTGAAAGAGTAAGAATATACCTTTGCCTATTTAGCCATCATTCTCCCTGCATTTCAACCACACTCATCTTAATTTTCAATGGCCACCACAAGGAGCCAAGCACAAAAAAACATGGCTGCAAATAAGCCTGAGGATGCCTCCACACTCAATAAACGAAAAAGAGAAAACCAACACCCACAACGAAAAAAGCGCGCCATCCCACTGCTGCTGCAGCTGAACTGCATTGTTGAGGGAGAAGCAACGTCGTTCCCAGTAGAGATTTTCTGCGATAAATCGGTCGGGATGCTCAAGCAAGCCATCAAGGTAGCGAAGAAGCCAGAACTTGATCATGCTGCCGCAGATAAGCTAACTCTCTACAAAGTCTCCATTCCTGACGAAGACAAGACCGTCGTTGAGTCAGAAATTGTGTCGAAAGAGACTCTCGTACCCGCGTCAATGGAGCTTTGGGAGATATTTAATTCTGAACTTCCAAGGAAAACTATCCATGTTTTTGTCAAGCCACCGCAGCGAGGTATGTATTAGCTCTTGATGGACTGATGATATTTCAATTGATGAAGCTATCTCATCACGGTCACGTCTATCCCTCCCTTTTTTATGTTGTTGAGATGAATCTCGGCAACACTATTTAACCGGGGGCGACTTTGGATTTCATCTCTATAAAAGAATTTGAAAAGTCGCCCCCATGGTGCATGCGCATGCTCCGACTCTCACTGTTGTCTGAGAACACAGTTTTCATTTTTATTTTTATTTTTATTTGACCTGCTTAAATTGATGCATTTGTTAGTTTTTCTGATTGAATCTGTTTCGCGTTTTGCACACATGCTCTGACTCTCCATTAGCTGGCGTTTATACCTCATTGACAGCAATATATTCTTTGATCTGATCAAAATGCTAACATTTCTGCCATTGCCGCGCTCTCTTATCTTTCTAGAGTCATCGGAACAGATTCTCAAGAGAAAAATGGATGAAGGTAATAATTTGTTTTTTGCTGTATAGATAGATTGACTTGGTGACTGACTGACTATATGTTATGGTACTAACCAACTGTGTATGTGTACGATGATCATAATTAGATCCACAGTATATTTCACCTTCAAAGAAGATGCGCATTGAGGAAGGGTGGAGAGAATACAGGGCTTCTGATGGCAAAATGGTCACGTTACCACCCTCTTGGATCGCAATGCTGGAGAATCCTGAAGACCCGCCCGATCCACGTAATGAGTTTGATCATCTGAATGGCGATAATCAGCCTGGTGATCGAGTTGACATTCCATCCTTGGGCCTCACACCGAAAGAATTTGAGGAATATAATTCGGAATTTATGATTACGGATCAGATGCTGGAATTGTGGAAGGAGATTAGTGCTGAACAAAGGTTTTCATATCAGCGAGTCCTTTCTGGTCCTATGGGGGTTGGCAAGTCATATCTATCCTATTTCCTTGCTGCAAAAGGATATGCGAAAGGGTGGCTTACCCTTTATATACCAGATGCCGCGATATTAAATGAAAGTTCGGATACAAAATCGGCAAAGGCACTGTTAAGGCGCTTCTTCGCTTTCAACAGGGATATCTTGACGGCATCTGATCTGGAAAGTCTCCTCGACTTTTCTGAAGTTATAGATTGCTCAATTGTGGCTGCTCGCGCAGTATTCGACCTATTCAAACAGAAGGAGCGCAAAACACTGTTCATTATCGACGAACATGGAAAGTTATTCCAAGAAAAACCGTACGTGCCGGATAAATACCTGTTCTTGAACCATCTAAAGGACCTCACTCGATGGGAAGCTGAATCCAAAGGATCTAGAGTGATATTTACAGGAACAGCCCATGCCAAATATGAATTGCAGATTATGGAAGACAGTGCTCGAGTTACCTTATTGTACTTTGTTGGCCCACTATCCGAGACAGTGTTTTCAAAATGGTTGGAGGTCCACCTGAACCAACCCGATATTGTCCAGGATATAATGAGGATTACAAACCGTGTGCCACGAGAGTTTATGTTTCTCATCCGGTCAACTGAGGAAAGACCACTCACAAGAGATAGCATTGATGAGTATGTAGCTCAGAGAACAAACGAGCTTCGCCCTGTAGTTTGGAATTACTACAAAGCTCGCAGCGAGACATCGAAGGAGATGTTCGCTAAAAGCCTTGCAACAGTCTTCCTTGGCAACAACTTGCAGAGTGGTGATTTTGAATGGGATTTCCGTGACCTAGGGCTTATCTATCGTCTCAACAAGAACCGCGGAGTCATAAACTATGTCTTGTGCCTCCCAGCGCAGAAAGCACTCTTTCAGGCATTTACAAACATACCTCATCATGAGCATATTCTGAGGCAAGTTAGTTTTGGAGAGGTAGGTAATGATTTCAAGTTGACACTGTTGGTCCGGTTTTTTACTTTAACCAAGCCAATCCTTCTCAACGCAACAAACCTTGTCGGCGAGAATCCAACGGAGATTATAATGAACTTTAAGGATCATGGGACAATCCATCAAAACATGACTTCTCTTAGACGTGGCTATGGACATGTACTGAGCCATTGTCATTCGAGTTATCCTCGCTTTGATTTCATACTCGACGCAATGTTTATCCAGGTGTCCATGAGTGATTTCTGCGAACACGAGAAGACACAAACTAAGCAGATCCAGAACGCTTTTGATAAGAGAGATCCCGACGGCAAAAATCAGATTGAAAGATATTTGGACGAAGTATTTGGAGGTAATCATTCTGCCTTAATTGACGATGGACATTTTGTTGTCAAAAAGGATGGAGAGCCAGTAGCTGGATTTAAAATAGTTTTCATGCGTGGTTCCCCTGGTGCACCAAACCACACTGGATTAATCAGCAAGTACAAAGATCTTCTTCATGTCAGCTTCAACGAGCTCAAAGAGAAACTTTTTAAAAATATCCCAACTTAGAATTTTCGTCACAGTATACAGTAATAATATAGTTCTTAATCCTATAAAAAGGCTTGTCATAGAAATTTAATAACACGGTTCTTTATTTTTGAGATGTATCATGGCTAAAATATTTAACTGGGGGCGACTTTGGATTTCATCTCTATAAAAGAATTTGAAAAGTCGCCCCCATGGTTCGTGCGCGCCACAGAGAGGTCACTCGCTTGCTAAGGCGACTGTTCGATGCTTGTTGATTTTCCAAATCTGCTTTGACTTCACCATAATTTAGCGGAATTGATTAGCATCCCCTGAATAGCTGCCATCCAAAGGGACTAACTTCGAATGGACAGGATTTACTGTGTTGTTCAAAACAATAAAACTTGACTGAAAGTCTGCTAATCCTCAAACTATGAGGCAAATAATGCCTGTGAACGCTTCAATTGGATTATGGTGAGCTTTTGGGGTGCAGAAAAGACAAGATTGTCTCTTTTGAGTAATGAAGGATATAGGATTTGTTCCTTGGAGGCAAACTTTTTTGAAACCATGGTTGTTGCCAGTAAAAACACAAATGGTTCCCGTTTTCCGCATACTTTCAGCGCTTCCACAATCCAAGGGCTGTGATGTAGCCATTAAATGTTAGATGTTTGTCGAGGCATTGGCACATCCCTTGCAAAAGTTCAGATGTATGCTAGGAATATTGTTTAAGGGACGTAGAGTAGTCAATGACATGTGGTTAGTGTTCAGGTGTTTATAACGGTATCATATGGAGTCCGAACAGTCGCCCAACTGCGGCCAACATTAATTTCTCGTCCTTCTTGACTTTTTTTTGCGCGAGCTGCAAATAACTTTCCGATGAGTCAAGTGAAGTTTCATCAAGGGTTGAATGTCTTGGGTGTTGCATTTGATTACATAATACAATGTATACATGACGAGTGGTTTTATGTCTTGACTCTATCCAAAGAGGAATACAAGAAACACTTTTTTTTTTTTTTTTTTTTTCCAAACACCGGTGAAGGGGACGAGAGGGGAGACGAACGGTGAAGTCCTGAAATTAAACTAGGGCATAAGTGATAATTATATAACGTCGTGGACAACGATCTCAATGATTAGTCTATAAGGCCCACTAGGTCCCCGATCTTTAGGCCCACTAGATCCTGATTTCTATAATGTTATCAGACAAACCAAGAGCATATATTACATTTATAGTATATAGCAGTTTTATTTTATTTGATTTGATTTTATTTGATATTATTTGATTTTTAAGTAAATAAATAATTAATCAAATTTGCCAGTCAAGATATCAAAGGAACGATGAAGCTCAACAGCCACCCCACTCATGAATAGAAAAGAAAAAAAAACCCCCCCCGTGTCAGTCTAAAAAGACGTCTGGATCCAATGGGAGGTGTCTTTTCATCTCTCGGCGGCGGAGTGGAACTATCTCTTGTAAGGATGAGATTATTCTTGTTTGGTTTTTTCCTTAGAACTCTCTGTGCTGAGACATATAGGGTAACATGGATCAAGAACTTCCCGAACGCGGGCTTGGTTCAGTTTTACGGATAACGGAAAAACTTTCGGTTTGGATGGGCAGAGGGGATCAAAAAAAAAAAAAAAAAAAAAAAAAAAAAAAAGTCTGAAACAATGTGAAGCTTGGCCATGAGACTGTTTTGGATTATACTGGCTTCACCTTCCGCCTCTTTCAGCCAGAGGAAATCGAAGGAAGAAAAAAAAAAAAAAAAAAAAAAAAAACCTGGCTTTCTGGCTTATTAATTGAAGAATGGAGGAGGGGGGGGGTCTCTTTCAAGTTCTCCGGTTTGCAAATGAGACTCCTCTCCTCTCTCAAAGATTGGAGACCTCGTAAGGTTGTTGGGAACTGTTGATTATGTGAACCTAGTTCAAGCTTGATGAACGTAGTATATACAAGTCGACCCTTTCTCCCTCTCTCTCTCTCTCCCTCTCTCTCTCTCTCCCTCTCTCTCCCTCTCTTTTTTTTTTCCCTACAAGAAATACAAATGTCCTTAATGCAGAGAGAAGTTGGGTGCCACATAAAGAAATTTATCCGTTCTGAATTCTGAGACGTTAGATCCAATAAGTTCGTGTGGGGGGTTTCTTTTTTAGAAGAAGAATCCGGCTGTAAATAAAATTATAAATATATACATGTATATAGAATATAGAGACTGTTCATGAAAGAAATCCTCTCCTCTGCAATGAAACCGACTTCTTCACAACCAGCACTTAACTGAATTCCTTTACGCGTGGGTTGTGTATGTGTGGGGGATAAAAGCAAAGACATGTATGCTTTCTCCGCTTAAAATATAAAACTGCTTTGTTGAAACGACATTTTACGACATTTAATATTTTCTATATATTTGTATAAGTATATACATATATAATATATATATATATATATATAGAACTAATAATGTAAATCACCTGTTTCAGAAAAACCTCCTCCAGGTCTTAAATAAATTATATATACAAATATCTATATATATATATATCTCTATATTTGAAAAGGACTAGCCAAAAAAAAATAAAATAAAGTAAAATAAAGCACGGATCCTCTAATGACAAATTATTTTTTTTTTTTTTTTTTTTTTTTTTTTTGCTTCGTTAGATCGCTAGTTGGTTGGGTCGTTAGGTCGTTAGGATAGGCAAAAAGAGCCGACCGACCCCCGCGTGGCAAAGCAACGTGGGCTTACGGCTCTCAATGGGCCTTTGCCTTGCTTTGCTTTGCCTTGCTTTGCTTTGCTTTGCTTTTTTTTTTTTTTTTTTTTTTTTTTTGTTAGTTTTTTGTTTAAAAAGCTTTATAGATATCACATGGTCAACTCTGTTAACAGCAACTCAAGGGGGCCCAACATTCATTTAACTTTCAAGAAACAATACAAGAACAAATTCATTGTTGATACAAGTGTAACTAAGAAAAAAAAAAAAAAGTACTAGACTAAAATAATAGTAAATAATGATAATAATAACAAGAATACTAATAAACAAACACACACAAAAAAAAAAAAAAAAAAAAAAAAAAAGAGAGAGAGAGAGAGAAAGAGCAAAAAGAGGGGGGGAAAACCCAGCTTTTTTTTTTTTTTTTTTTTTTTTTTTTTGCAATAAGTTGCCTCAAGGCCTACACAAAGTCATTTTTGTTTTTTTTGTTTTTTTCCCAAAAAGCAAAAAAAAAAAAAAGGAATATATTTGAAACAGACACAAATGATATACATGGAAAGAATGCAAAAAAAAAAAAAAAAAAAAAAAAAAAAAAAAGACAAACAGAGAGAGAGAGATGGTAATATATAAAGAAGTAAAAGAGAGAGAGAGAGAGAAAGCAGCGGATAATGACCGCTAAAAGGCTTAGAATCCCATAGGATGATGGTGTTGGGATTGAGAGTGTGGGTGATGTTGATTTGGATGTGCGTGAGGATGAGGAAGCTGGTGAGGTTGATGATGGGACATTGCATGCATTGCCAAGGGATGATGTACAGAGTGCATATGTGCTGCCAGAACTGGATCACATAGCGAAGCTTGTTGTTGCAACTGAACTTGTTGGGCTTGACTCTGCTGTTGATGATATGCAGCTGCCTGTTTCGCAGCCTCCTCTTGAGCACGCTTATGTTTTCGCCATTCCTTTCGCATCTCTTTGAATTCTATATATCGTATGAGTAGAATAACATCAATATCAAGACAAGGTTAGGACTATCAAGAAAAGAGAGAGAGAGAGAAAGAGAGAGAAAGAAAAAGAAAGAAAAAGGAGAAAACAAATGCATTACCTGCTGGCAAACGCTTAGGACCATGCTTCTGCATGTTTACATGTGCGTTCAAATGATTGAGGGTGCCATAGGCCTTCTCACAATCTCCCCAGTTGCAGACATAGAGGCGCTCAATCTCATCAAAACGTCGGCGTGGGCGCTTCTTCGAGTTGACTCCGGAGAGGGGCACGAACGAATATGTTTTGGAGCCGTTCACGCTTCCGTCCATACTGTTCATGTCGCTACCATTTTGGGACCATGAAATAGGATGGATGCCTGTCTGGGCCTGTGCTGCAGAATGGGTCACATGATGAGAAGGTGGGATCTGCTGCTGCAGTCCGAGCGAATCTACATAATCGACTGCTGCGGATACGCGGGGCATGCCCTGGACTGGGACAGAGTTGGCAGCGACCAAGTTTCCGTGTGCGAACGTGGCATTGTTGTTGTTCAGGGGGCTGGAACCTGCAGGTTCAGAAGGGATCATATTCGACATGACGAGGCCTGCACCGGTCTCGAGCGATGACACGAACGGATAGGTCACTCTCCGCTCATACGAGTTTGGGGGGGCTGTTGTAGAATCTTGAGGAACCATACGGTCAGAGACGGATGCATGGGTCATCTTGGAAGGGTCATTCTCGAATTGATCTTGGTGAGGATAGACATTTACGGGAGCCTGCATTTCCAAGTATGGGTTGGTAGCATAGAAATTATTGGGGGGTGAAGTAACCACGTTGTTCATGGTTGAAAGAGCGGCTTGCTGAGCCTGCATCGGAGGAGAGACAGCCAAGGAAGGAGAGGATGAAAGACCGTGGAGAGCCTCGGAAAGAGGAGGCAGATTTGGTTGGACGGCCTGGAGGGGCTGTGCTGAGGGCTGTGTCGGAGGTTGTGTTGTATCCCAAGATCCAATAGGAGGTTGGGAAGTATTTGTTGTGATTGGAACTTCTTCCGATAGAATCGAATGGGTCTGAGCAGAATAATCTGGACGCGTCCGTACTTCGGTAGATGGTGGTGGTGGGGTACTAGGTGTCTTGACGCGTGCACCCATCATTGACTGTCTGCGGTCGTGGATGGTAAGACGATTGTGGGAAGAATAAGGGGACATGTAGGGGGAGGAGTTGAAGTGTGGTGCAATAGAGGTCTTCATTGAGTTATAGTCGGTAGAATAAAACGGAGTACTATAGAAGGGTTGTTGTGATGCAGTTTGTGTTTGAGAAGGGATCATCGGCTCTATTGGATTTCAAATAAAGAAGGGGAAGAAGAAAAAAAAGAAAAAAAAGAAAAGATCATCAGCATAAGAGTTAAGAGTAAAAGGATCATTTTAGGATGTCATTCGGTTGTCATTCGGGGACCCTTTTATAATCACAACATGATGAAAAATTATCACGACGACAAAAAAATAAAAAATAAAAAATAAAAAAAGTCGTGAGGCGTGCGAAAAAAAAAAAAAAAAAAAAAAAAAATTAAGATTAAATATAGAGAGATTCTTTACCAATTTTAACAGATTGATTTTCGCTGCCTCGACTGTAGAGAGTATTCGAGTCTACAGATGAGGTTTCGGTTGTCGTTGGGGGTTTGCTGTTTAAGAAAGTAGAAGTGGAGGAAGGATAGGATGAGAATCTCCAGTCGGAAGATTGGGAAGACTGGTCTTGTTGCCTGGAGTGTTGATCACGATCGTGGTGATGGAATGGGAAGGAGGATGTGGTTTCGATCTGAAGTGGGCTAGGACTATAAACGGACAGCATTGAGGGGAGTGGATCAGTATGGAGAGAGGGAGAACGCGAAGTTGTTGTTTTTTTTTTTGAGCGTGTGTGCTTAAAAAGGATGATGGGGAGAGGATTGGAAGAGGAAAATCTACTTGGTGATGTTGAATGACAAATGTCTACAGCTCTAAACATCAGGGACAAAATAGGATCGAAGCAACGTATTGGACAGAATGAAAAGAGAGAGAAGAAAAAGAAAAAGAGAGAAAAAAAAAAAAAAAAAAAAAAAGTTTATTAATAAATAAATTAAAGAGATAACTCATTGTTGGTCCTTTCCCCCCTTGCTTGTTGACGGCAGAGTGTGGTGAACAAGTCGCAAAAAAGCGTAGATATCCCTGGACTGGATAACCCCCTCTCTTTCTGTGCAGATGCCCAGGGTCTTGGGGAAGAAGAGGAAGTCGCCGTCCGCATTTGCAATTTGCTTGTAAAAAAAAAAAAAAATTTAAAGAAAAAAGAGAGAGAGAAGGACATTGGGGAAAGAAACAACAGCAATAACAACGAAATGTCATACCATAATCCAAGGTTGAGGATGATGAAGGATAAAAGATGGGAAGAGGATGAAGGGAATGGAAGAGAAGAGAAAAGAAAAGAAAAGAAAGGATATTTAAATGGAAATCACCTGGAACTTACAACTTACAGTTTTAATTGCCTTGATCTGTGCGAGTTTTGATCCTTTGGGCTCTGTCAAATTTAATGGGAAATAGCTAGTAAAAAGAAGATTATGAAACAATGAAAATGATCTTCGTCAGCGATCAACACATGGATAACATTAACCTTTGGAAAATAGAAAACAAAGAAGGAAAACAAAGAAAAAAATATGGATAAATGATTTTTGCAAAGTGTACGTATCCATGTACGGTATCATGTACATGTACTGGGTTTTTTGTTGGGAACAGAGAGGGAAAAAAAGAAAAAAAAAAAGAGGGGAGATGAGGGGGAGGGTTAAGGAAGACGGGGTGGTTTGCAAAACAAAGACAGACTTGACGAGTCCCCTTCTTTTTACTTTTTCTTTTTTTTTTTTTTTTTTTTTTTTTTGCAAGTGAGGTCATGACCCTTTTCTTTTGCAATATTGCAAATGTAAAGAGTAAAAAGAAAAAAGAAGAAGAAACCTCCCATCTTTAGGATTGAATGAATGGCTTTTTTGAAACCTGACAGCATAATTCATCAAGGTTAAGCACCAGGCAAATTAATGAGGCGCACCGTTGTCCTCGTCAATCAATACCCAGCACTTTTTCATGGTGAATCATGTGTATCAACGGAACACACATCCGGGAAAATAAATAAATAAACAAACAAAAAAAAAATAAAAAAATAAAAAAAAAAATAAAGAATGAAAAAAATAAAAAAAAATAAAAATCAGGGTACATTGAAATTCTGTACAGAACGTAGCGAGGAAGGATAGGATACTTTCGAGCATTGACAAGTGAAAGAAATCAAATGTATCTTTGGAAAATGGAAATGGAAATGAAAATGAAGATGAATAAAAAAAATAAATGGTGGATAGGGAATGAACATGAAAGAGAAAGAGGAGGGGAGGTAGTATAATTAGGGATATTGTGTGGGAACTGAGACTGAGATCCTCAACTCCAAGGATCCTCCCCTTTTTTTTTTTTTTTTTTTTTTACTCTTGAAATGACTGTTAATGATTGTTGGTTGTTGAAGTGTTTCCTTTACCTCGAATATTACTTTCTAAAGATGAACAAGTGTCAAATATCGAACTAAAAGGGCGCGGGATAAATTCAAAAAGGTTGCGGAGGCTGTGGGGGGAGGCTGTGGAGACAGATAAATGAAGACGACAGACAGGTAGTGTGTGTTTCGCTCACTCTTTGAGACTAGCAAAAGATGAAGAAGAGATGAAATATATATATAAAAAAACTAAGGCTAGTGTAGAAAATGGTGTTATTTAAAAATGAATGGTAAAATGTTTCCTTTGAAGAAAGAGAGAAACGAAAGAGTAGTTTTTTATATATTTTTTGAGAGTTGGTATTGAGGAAAAGAATTGAGAAAGAAGAGAGAGAGAGAAAAAAAAAAAAAAGAGAGAAAAGAGGAGGGAAGATGAACTGGTTAAATAGAGGAAAAAAACCCATTCTGCATGTAAGAGAAAGAGAGAGAGGGAGGAGAGATGGAAGTGAATAAAGAGTGAATAGGGAATGAATTGAAGAGATTTGGGCCCATATAAATAAATATAATTGTGTAAATATGTATTTAACCGTATTGATTGTGTCAAAGAGTGCGAGTGTAAATGTAAAATAAACAGAGTTTGCCGCCAGATATGACTGAAAAAAGGGTGAGGCAACCCATACATATCATTTAAACATCCACACACAAACAGCGTGTAAACAGCCGTATTTAAAGAACTCTAAGCAACCATAAACACCATAAAGAATAAAAAGAATTGAGAGAATGAGAGCAGCGATCGTAAACAATCTTGATTCACTCGCTGTCATATAGCATATTCCCAAATACAGAATAAAGATTCAATTCAATCGCCCCATTCAGTCTAAGCTGATAAAATAGCCCTAATCGGGTAATAAGCTTATATAATACGTTAATGAATGTACGTGTTCTCTACTCAATTGGATTTCCTCCTCATTAGAATACCCTATGTGCAAATATAAATCTTGCATCTCTGCATTGGGCAACAACAAAAACATACCCTTCTTTTATACATTTCACAAACAAAACCTCTTATTGCCTGGAGAGGAACATGTATTGTTCATTATTTTTTGGGTCAGGGCAGGAGGGGAGGGGAACGTACCCTTTATATTTAGCTTTATAAAAAAAAAAAAAAAAAAAAAAAAAAAACTCTTGTGTATGTGTAATCTGCTCTCCTGTTCACCACCAGCCAGTTTGTTGGAAGAGTAGTTTACTCTATAACCCTAAAAAAAAAAAACCACTCTCTGGCTTCTACTGGGTTAGGAAGCTGCTTTGGTCTGTGTTGTTATTGTGCATCAAGCACCCCCTCGTGTCCAACGATCGTAATATCTAGAAATGGCCCTTGCTTCATCTCAACATAATCATAAAGGAAAAAAGGCAAAAAAAGAAAAAAAGGAATAACAGGTGAATATTAATAGAGGGCAATTGCTGTGTCAGAACATGAAAGAAGTAAAAGGACAATGTGGCAATGTTGATGCAACGCCTTTTTTTTATTTTTATTTTTATTATACCCTATAGAGAGATAGAGATATCTAATTCAGTCATGTTTCCTCCCCCCCCCCCCCCCCTGTAGTTGTCGTCGTTGTCATTGATTGTCGTGTGCCATTGATTGTCGTCTGTCATTGATTGCCGTTGTTGATGCAGCTTGATGTGAATGTTTTTTGTTGAAAGGCATGATGATGCTGTTTATGCTGAACAACCGACGTTGAATCTCTTTCTACGGTTTATTATTTTTTTCTTTCTCTTTTGAGCTGGGAGAGAAAGTGCCGTAATATGATGAGCAAGAAAAAAAAAAAAAAAAAAGGACGATGAT